CCGCGTAAAGTGAGCATTCCGGGTCTGGCAGGGTACCGCGTAAACGTGGAAATGCGTAAAGCGGGGTAATACCGTACTGATAATTCTATTTTTCCCATTTGATGCCAATTTCAATTTCTTACATGCACTGTATCAGATGATTACATACTGTATACTGTATACAAGTCCTATACTGTATTACCAAACTGTACAGAGACAGGAGATTATATGTACATCCATTGAGATGGATACTACCATGCTCATTTTGTGTACACACCAATTTGCATAATCAATCTACAGGCAGTTATTTGCAAAAATGATAACAGTATATCAAACTACGATTTACTACAAAAAGTGATTTCAAGTACAGTATGAGATTTGACTTTCGCATGAGTTACTTTGATCATCAAGGCATTTATTCTCAGGAGAAGGCAAGCTGAGCTCATTAAAAAAAAGTTCAAGTGAAATACAGCATAAAAATCTAGTAAATAAAGTGTTGCATCCTGTAAAGGAAATCATCATAACCATAATTTGTCTTTACATGAGGCATATGTGAGGAGTTTGCTAGAGAAGGAGTCACAAGTAGAGGAGGATACTAGTAGAACCACTAGAAAAAGGAAGTTGCCAACTCCCCTCGGCTCTCTACCAAAAAATGGTTGTCCCATGTGTTCAAGGCTGGCTGGCCCTAAGGTTAATTTGGCATGAATTTGTTTAAGATAAAGTATAGCTGTTGCCAACATAATGGACACACCCCAAGTTAACAAGCTGTATGACCCAGTGCCAAGGAATAATCCAAGAAGACTGGACAACTCACCAACTGCATTTGCAAGCCATTACCCCAGAACACACACTGCACATCAATTAATATCCAGGTTCCCAATTACTGCTGGGTAAACAGAAGCAAATGGCAAAAGAAACCTGCCCAGGAATCAAACCTGAGACCACTTGCTTGTTAGGAGAGCATGCTGACCATTACACCACTTGTCACCTTCCTACCGTACGCGCACACACACACACACTGTACCAGTTTCGGCCAACACCAATCTGAGAAGCTCAATTTTAAAGTGGTCAAAGTTGTGTAAGATTTGGTTGAAGGCAGTAGGTTGAAGGTAGTGGGCAGCTACCAAACAGGGAGGTACCACTGCCTGGGAAGATATTGGAAGCATAATGTTTTGTCTAATGGTAGACCCTGCTGCCATATGGCATCACAAAAATTGTGACCAAGTTCCAGGTTGCTGATCTGAATTTCTGCCTCATTTACATACAATTTCAGGATCTCAATTATTCTCTTACTTTGACAACACAACATACATACTGTATATTGTTTCTCACTCTTGATCTCTCTTTTTTTTGTACTGTATGTCTTTATTATTATTATTATTATTATCATTATTATTTCATTTTATTTTTTATATAAATTTTATTTATTATGAATTATTATTATTACTGTATTATTATTACATTTTCATCCCCCAGGCCCGGGTGGGCATAAAAAAAAAAGAAAAAAAAAAGAAGCCTCTCGAGCTTTGAGCTTTAAGTTAGGACCATGAAACGTCCATTGATGTAGGCTGCCATCCCAAAGGTGATCATCATTGAAGTTGTCTGCCATTTAAGGGTTAAGAGTTAATTATAATTACAAATGCCAATGAAACAATAACATTGATTATACTGTATTAATGGTAAGAGGACAGAATGGGAATAAATAAATCATTAGGATTTATGGATTGTCCACAAGAGATCTATGTAATGTACAGTACAGTTAACTATATAGAAATATCAAAGGCCTAAAATGAAATGTAGGTACAATTTCACAATAGATATTCCTTTCTGTATAAATACCAAGAAGTTTAATTTTGACAACAGATGAATTTGTCATTTAATTCATTCATAAAACGTATATTAAGAATTTTAGGGATGAGATAGACTCAGGAACGTGTAGAAAAAAAGGAAAACTAATGAAATTAAAGAAAGTAAAGGTACAGTACTGCGCAGCACATAATTCTGTTCAAATTGGTATGTCAAGTTTGGCTCTAACCACAGTAAAATTGAATCACAGAAATGCTGTGAAGATTATGGCCAGTGCTTAGTGTGTTCCACTTCTTAGTGCCAAGAAAAATAGCAGATCACAAAATCAGTTAATGGAGAATACAGAACATCTCTGTTTGGGTGGATGATCAAAACTAGCACAACGTACAGCCTCCCACACTTTCACCTGCTACAGCATCGTCAATCTTTGTCTGCGAGAGTTGTGAACCAAGGGAGTACTGTATGAACCCGCATCTGAAGCATTCGCTAGTGGCATGGAGTGAGAGACCGGGGGCCGGTGTGAGAGGAGGGTGATGGGCTGGGGGGTTAAGAGGGTAGGAGTGGAGGTGGGCTAGAGGAATTGTGCGGCCAGCAAGACTGGATATATTTTTATTATTATTTCAAAGTTCAGAATATAATAAGTTAACCTGTCACATAATACCATGATTCACTCATACTGGCTGTGAGCTAATATGTACTCATTCTTGCTTTGTACAACCACTGTTACCAGAACAGAACCTCACACAAACCATATTCACACCACACTCATGATAATGCCCAATAATATTCACATTTTCTGTAACGTTTGTTATGATATCTATGTCACCTTCGCCTGCCCTTATTACAGGGAAAAATGTTAACTAATCCACCGCACTAGGCATCAGAGGCCATGTAGCACTGCTATGAGAAGGGAGGACCCCACCTCTCGCACCTGGGGTTGTATTGTTACACTCTATTAATGTTACATTGCTTATAGCTGTAATCAAAGACATCTGTTACTCATTGTGTGAGAAAAGTCAACCCATCGGAACAGAAAAATATATTGTATGTCCATCGGGCTGGTGACAGTTCCTCACATTTCTGCGGGGGGAGGGAAAGACCTGGAGGAACAGAGCACGGCTGATGGCCGCGAGTCTCACAACATTTGGTCAGTAATATATGAATATATATTTAACCACACCAGTAACATAGGCGCACTTACTAATTTCCGATACCACATTTTTCTTTTTTTTTTACGTATTAATAGTTCGCTTAATAAATACTGGGTTGTAGCTGGAGACGTTTTTCCTTGCCCCTCTCCCATCTCTGTTGCCACCTTCAACTGCTACCATTGCACTTCACAAGTGAATGCTTTGGATGCGGGTTCATACTCCCGTGGTTCACAACTCGCTGAGATTAGGATTGATAATACTGACTGTAGCAGGTGGAAGTGTGGGAGGCTGTACCTCTCTGTTTGGTTGGGATACAACCTTCACCACACTCATTTGTGAGTATCAAATTGTTTGTTTGACCTTGTTTTTCACATCACTTATTCTGATGAAAAAATGTCTCAGGAACTTAACTCCCCCTATTTAAAATACAGCATTTCTTATAGGAAAAATTGATTCATCTAAAGCTGAACGTTTCAAGAATGCGCATATAGTACCGGTACCAATATGGCATTATGTAGGGACTCTCTGTATTAGACATCAAATACAGTAAAACAAAATCAAATGACTGCAACTAGTGTTCTAGGAATAAGTACTGTACAGTAACTAATGTCAATGAGTTATAAAGTATTTTATAGCTAAAAATTTTTTTTATACTGTAACTTAGAATTTAATATGCTGTACTGTACAGTACCTACCGGGTATATACTGTACTGTACTGTATAGTATTTCTGTTTAAAAGACAGTATACAGTATTGACCCCTCCAAAATAAAAATATGGCACAGATTGAAGAAACAAAATATTTTTTAACGGTAGTAATTAGTATTCCGTCGAGATCTTACTTTAAAGTCTCCTTTAGAGGATAATAATAAAATACTTTATTTAGTTAATACTTTTATTTAATATAATTTCTAACAAAATATAAAGTGGGCTGAATCAAGTACTAATCATATGAAAAATCAAAGAGGAATGACGTTAATATATGCCTCTATACGCTACTTGCTACCTCGTACCACACAGTACGTTGACTGATGCAAAATTATCAAACACCCAGGCCTCTGACCACCACTATATAGGTACTACCTAACCCACAACAGCTATTACCGGTACCTCCCAAACATACAACTACATTTTCATCTTTTACCTTTCTTTCTCAGATAAACATCTTGACTGCTATTTCTGTTTATATGATCCTAATCTACAGTATATTCTCCTACCAATACTAACTACTTTCATATTCATGAATTAGATTGAGATGAACAGCAACTTCCAGTAACCATTATGTAAATTCTTAATTCTGTCTTTTATTACTTCATCTGAATGTACTACCTGTACTTAGTCAAAATTAATTCTTTAAATGTCTACATTCTTTCCATATGATTCTACAGTAGTATATAAATATTGGCATTTTCACATACGATGCATTAATGGAGAGTTAAAAAGGCACAAAATTAGCTCATCTCAGAATTCATGTTGGGTGTGGACGTTGTAAGGGTAGAGACAAAACTGTACGCCAAGTTCAATTTTATATATATATATATATATATATATATATATATATATATATATATATATATATATATATATATATATATATATATATATATATATATATATATATATATATATATATATATATATGAGAGACAGACACTCTAATCACCCCCACCTTTCTGCTTTATCATTCCATATTTTAAATGTTATGTAATGTAATAATGAAGGATAAAACTTTGCTCACTTATACTGTACTTATAACGATCTCCCTAAAAATACTTCAGTTTTCGTATTTATTCAAGACATCTTCAGGTCATGAGACCCACTAATCCCCCACCCAAGAACGGGTAACCTGACATCCCATCCCTGCAATTCTGTTGCCTCTGACGATGTCTTGAATAAAGACGAAAGCTAAGGTGCCCCAGTGTATACATTGTTAACCGAGTGCTCCATTTAGCGGAATTTCGATTTAATGAACAGGCGTGGCTCAAATTAGTTACCGTAGTTAAATTGAGAACATACTGTATACAGGGTGTCTATAACATATTCACCTGATTATGAAGCTCAATAAATATTTTACTGTAAAAGAGAAAAAATAAAGGGGTTTGGTGTAATTAATAAAGCAACTCTGGTAATCTATTGACATGTATTTGGTAGGAGTGCTACGAGCACGAATTGTGACAGTACAGCAGCATAATGGCGATTATGAAGGAGAAAGCAATGTGTGTGCTATGTTTGTGGGAAACCAAATCTTCAGTTACTGTACAGAGACGTATCCAACATAAATAAAAAAAAATCCACCAACAGAGCAATCACTCAGGCGATGGCTGAAACAGTTTCATGAAACTGGTAGTGTGCTACATCAGAAAAGAGTAGGTAGTCCCAGTGTATCTGAAGATACAGTAGCTGAAATTCAGGAGGTGTTTAGCCAGTCCTACAAAATCTTGGAACTGCAAATACCGTGAGCAACAGTGCACAAGGTGGTTCACAAGAGGTTGAAACTTTGTGCTTGCAAATTGCAAATCATGCAGAAGCTTTTAGACTGATGACAAACCCAGACGAGAGCAATTTGATGTTGAAATTCCCAATCGTAACGAAGATGAGCATTTTTGAATAATGTCGTTTTCAGCGATGAATCAACATTCCACCTGTGGTAAGGTCAACAGACACAATTGCCACATATGGGGATCGGAAATCCCCTTTCATTTCTTGAATACGAGCATGACAGTCCCAAAAATAAAGATTTGGTGCCCACTCTCCTAGTGCTCGTATATATACAGGGGGTATATCAAGTTTTATCAGTTATATAAATGAATTGGGATATATTCAGCTGCACAAACTGTAGTACATTGCCGATTGTGCTATATGTTAGGTATCATTTGTTTCTGTTTGGTACAAAACAAGAAATAATGAAAAGACTTCATTCAAAAGCGAATTTCATCTTCGATTTCGACCTTTTATGACAAATATTTAAAATTTTCTAACATCCTCTCTGAAGTGCTAATGCCTTGAAATCATTTGCATTTTGATAGTACAAATATTTAACATTATTTTAGAGAATAACAAGTCTGGTTAACAATTGTGAATGCATTTAGTTTGAATAAATGGACAGCTTCACAAACAATTTCTATGAACCAATCAGCTACTGTACTTGTAGCTATAGACGAGGGGCGTGGTTTAAGGGCCAGGTTAGCATGGAAATACAGTAGTATAATTAATGGCAACATACAGTTAATCATTTAGTAACACAGAGTGAAGAAAAGCTGACAATAAACTCAATACAGATTCCATTTACATTTCTACTAATACAGTACCTGTACAGTACTTTCATTACTGTATGTGGGACAGTCACTCAACTTCGGCAATATTACACAAGTAAATCATGCATAGATCTTCATCTCTCCCATCTATGGTGTTTAGTGCTAAGCATGCCTAGCTTGTATAGAGGTCACTTGTCCCTTACACTACTCTTCAGAGATAATACCCTGTACTATACAGTAGACCTGTATACCTCCCCCAGTCTATTACAGAAAAAGAAAAAGAAGAATCATAACTGGATTCAGTTATTAAAGAGGTACTGTATTCAAAATTTCTGCTGAGAAATTATAGTGCAAAGTATTCAAGACTTATATGGTAATTCATGTACAGCAGCTAAAACAACTATCTGTGCATACTTTGTGGGAAACAATACGAGACCATGGACGATAAATATTGGTATATGAGGGCTGTCACTAGTCACACGTAAAATTTTGGAGCATATCGACCCCTACCTGCACAGATAGTTGTTTTAGCTACTGTACAGGTATATATTAAAAAAAAACTAGGTCCATATAGTGTATTTATATAACATCTGTATAATGAGAAAAAAAGAGGTGATATTTCCTGTTATGTAGTAGGAGGGCTTTACGAACCTTAACCAAATATATTAACTCTGGTAAATAATATAAATTCATAATTTTACATGGAACCTTGTACAATACAGAACAACATACTGTACAGTAATTCAAATTAACATACAACAATAACAAAATAATAACAAACATAGCATTCAAGGTAACAGCAATGATATACTAATGATGCCTACAATTCATGTGTAGGCTGCTTATGACGCACTGACAGTGACATTATTTATGCTTGGATCTGGGAGCAAAGATCCCCTGTCTTGTAAAAATGTTTCTTACCATCTGTCCACTGGTGTGTTCTATTAACACTTGGGAAAGGGTAGCAGAATATCAACAGGTTATGGCAAAATTCTGTGAAATTAATCTACTGAACTGAAATACTGTAATAATATAAAGATACAGGATACAGATAACTTTTACTGCAGCTTATAATTTCCTATAATAAAATAAGTTTTTATGAAATAAGATCAAAATTTTTTTTTAGTATTACAGATGCACACACAATACATCCACCAATCAACATGCTACCTGATTACAACACATTTTTAAATTCTGAATTACAACATAAATAAGGTATATTAATACATTCTCCATGTTACAGTACAAAAATAACGCCAGTTTCGTCTCTTTATTTACATACATGTGAATACTGTACTGTATTATCATTATGGTATTATCATTATGAGAGACACTTTACCTTTTGTCACAAGTGGTAATTAAACTAATTAATTACATTAAAGAATGTAAATGAAACTCAAAAGGGATTTTGAGTTTAGAATCTGTTTATACAGTACAGTACAACTGTATATGCACTCTGATATATCAATAGCAAATAATTTATATCTTCCTGAACACGTACACTCGGTAAAAACTACCGTACAGGTGGGCTCCCAGATTTTCCATCTGAACATTCCTGTTGTCTCGCGAGGGTTGGTAGGCCTGAATATGAGACATTTCATACTTAATTTGGTAGGCTGAAATTAGCTATTTCATTGACTATATTGAATTAGTTACAATAAGACTGGAGAAAGTCAGTATATCTAGATAAGTTAAACTGTATGTTACATTAAATGTTCCACACACTGTGGACTACAGCAACCATGGAAGTGGATGAGTTGCCATATAGGAATGCATTATATGTTTGGCAGAATTAGTGGATATAATAAAGGTAAAAGATTATTTTGCAACCGAATTTTGAATCTGTATTTGTATTGCTATTTTACTTTGGGCTCATGCCACATTATGTCATTCTTTATTCATATTGGAAAATATACCATGCAGTTCCGAAACATTTGAATAGCTCCACAGTTTCGCATGCCGTCATAATGGAACCCGGCCTAATGACATTTTACCATATGGTTGATAATTCCGGAAAGTCTAGTACTGGGTTTCGTTTCAGAGTGCCGATCACTTGTTTCAAGCACGTGTGGCCAACCCATACACGCACAGGGCTACCAATGCGAGGAACGCCTCAGGGGCCTTTTTGAAACAGTTTGTTTGTAGTGTAAGTTTGTTTCGCGCATGAATTGTAACGATAGTTTTTTACCGAGTTTACATTACTGCATATAAAAAATAAAACTTCTGGTATACACAATGAATTTTCGACACAAAAAAATTACCACACATCCACACCTCTGCTCAGGTTTATAATGCCAACCCAACCTGTAAGAATACAATCATCATTCGTATGAAACGGTTTAACAACAACCTTTAAAGCATAAAAACCAAAGCTAGTGCTGTACTTAAGAAATTTTTATATATTGTATCACTAAACATATACAGTATGTAGCGCATTTGTATTCTCATAATATAAATCAAATAAAAACCAACACCAATGACCATTTACTGGAATAGCAATATAACTGTGTTTTGCTTAAATCTGTTTTACTAAACAGTACAGCATATTTACTTACATAAACTATGATCCCAATGCTGTACTGTTAACCTAGGATAGGATAAGAGTATAAATGTATAAATACAATCTATGGTTACATTACTCACACAATTTGCATTCATAAGTGTACAATCTTCTGTGTTGATTTCTAACTATCACTGTACTAATGTGAATTATGAAAACTAGTTTCCCCATGAACTTGGTGCATGTGTTCAGCAAACTTCTGTGCACAGTCTGAGGCAAAGTCTCGCTTACATGATTCGGTGTGTGCCAGTTTATACAGAACGAGGAACACAAGACTATGCACTAGTGCCGTGTACATGAAAGTTACCGTTCGAGCCGTTTTGTTGCTCAATATAAAATGCCCCATAGAAAGAGTAATCTTTTCAAATGGGCTAAGAGCTGCATAACGGCGATGTTTTTCTTTGCGAGAAAATGAAGAGAAGGGGTCTAGGGCTTCCTCATATTGGCTACTATAGCGAGACTCGGCTGCAGTGTCTTCCTTAGATTGTCTGCCTTGGTATGACTGAAGAAATCTTATTTTTTCATATAGTTTGAGATTATCTGCTCTGAGAGAGTCTAGTTCATTTTGAAGGAGAACAACCTGTTGCCCTCTCCCAGCAACTTCCCCTTCTAACTCCTCATTTCGCTGACGAAAACGTTCCCTCTGTGCAGATACAATTGGTAAGAGAGACTCAGCAGCAGATGTGAAATCTGGTGGAATTCCTCCTGGTGTGGGAGTTGGGGGATTTGTGTCAAAAGCGGAGGGGTATGTCAGGGGTGGCGTGCTACTGGTTGATGCTCTGACAGCCTCAGCTACGATCTCAGGCATGGAAGCGCCTTCACCCTCTCCACGGTATAGCGTCGACAGTGACTGCACTGAGGATAAATCAGATTCAAGATGAACAATTAACCCTTTCTGTTCTGAAGTAAGTGAGCGTAGATTTGCAAGTTCTTGTTCTACTTCATTCACTTTTGTTGTTATGCCTGCATTTGCTTGCTTTAGGGTAGTATTTTCATTTTGTAATGCTTTTGTTTTTTCTAAGAGAAGGATCTCCAATGGTTTTGGAGGTGTTGATGATTCTTGTAGATACTCCTCTGTCATAGTAGGCGATGATATACCAAACTCAACAGACTTCATTATGCTCAATTCTCTCTTGATCTCATCATAATCTTTTTGTTTGGATATTTTGTCCTCTAACAGAGCCAAAGTTTTTGTATCATCTTCCATTTTGTTCTCAAGGTACAGAATTTTCTTTGATGCATTTTCTCTTAAAGTGTCCAAGGACAACTGCAACTGTTTTATGTCCTCAACAAGTTGGGATATTTCTTTGTCTTTTGAAGCTAATTCAATTTCCAAGGAAGATCTTGCTAAGTTTTCAGCTGCAGACTCAATTTCATTTACAGATGACACAGAGTTGGACATGCTATCTATTTGTGCACTGTGAGCAATGGACAAAGCCTTCAACTGTTCCTTTAACTGTGCTGATTCTCTTTCAGCTATTACAGCTCTTTGATTAGTACGTTCAAGATCATTCATCAAAATATCTGTTTCATCTGACTTTGCAAAGTTTGATTCCTCAGATTTGCTCTTTAAATCAAACAACTCCGACTGAGTTTGATCCAAAGTGGACTGCAGGGTTTGAGCTCTTGTCTCAGCTTCCTGAAGCCTTCTCACCACTGATTCCTGTGTTTCATGAAGCAACCTCTCTTTCTCTGCATATTGACGACACAATTCCTTTTCCAGTTCCTTTGTTTTTGATTGTATATTATCATCCATCAAGTCCTCATAGTTCTTAATTTTCTCTTTTAAGGCCTTTATGGTTACATCTTGGTTCCTAACTTCTTTGAATTCTTCATTGTAGTCACGCAAAGTTTCCCTCAAGTTTTTATTTTCTATTTCCAAATCAGCAAGACGCCCAATTTTTTTTTCTAGTCCAGCACAGTACTCCAGGGTGGGAAGTGGGTCTGCAATGTCAATTACTTTTTTGTACACATTTAAAAAGGCAGTTTCCACAAATTTGCTCCTCTTATTTAGGTTATCTATTTCAGTCTGAAAACTTTTCAGTAGAGGAGCTACTTGTTTGCGAATATCTTCTGGTGTGTTTTTCTTAAATTCTCTCGACAGCTCAACCAATTTCTTGCGAGATTCTTCCGATTCATCTTGACGAGTAGCTAATTCTGAGGCAGTTTCATCAAGTTCTCTTTGCACAATACCCAATTCAAAAGACTTCCATGCTGATATAACAGCTTGTACTTTGACTGCCATTTTGGCCTACAGACATCCAGCCACAACAGAGACAAACGTCTTGATACCTGTAGAATAAATAAAAAGACATAAGTTAGCATGTGTTTCCTAAGCTCTCTGAAACTAGCAGTTAATAAAAAATTTAATGACTGGCAAAAAAGTGATGTTATACTTAAATAATAATAATAATAACAATTATAATAATAACAGTCACAATTCAGAGAACTTTGAAACACAGCTAACCAATGGTTCTACCACAAAACATATCTACTCAAGAGCAGTGTTCAGTATAGCTGCTGTATATAATATCACTTTTTTGCTTCTTGGAAACTAATACATGAACACATTCACTGTAATGAAAAATACTAATTTAATTATAGATTATGATCATTTTGCCCAAATTGAAATTTTTTTACTCTTCACACGTAAACTCTGGTACAGTTAGTAGATAAATAATGATAATTTGAGAAAGAAAACATGGACAGGGACTTCGGACAAAACTAATAAACACTTTAAAATGAATGCTTAGAACACATACATATCTGAGAACTAGCTGGAATTTTAGTAATTGAAGTCAATACTATATAATGTACTACAGTACAGGTATCAAAATGCTCATCTGTGTAATAAATAGTGATATCTTCATTAGCAGGAACAATTGGTGCAGAGCACTTCCGGGAATGAGAGATTTCCGAGTAACGACGACTCTCTCGAAGCCGGAAAAAATCCCCCATCCCAAATATTTTTGGGTAATGGAAGAATGTTCTCGGAAGTTCCAGAATAATGCATTATTTCATCTCTCAAAGCCGGAAAAAAAATCCTCACTCCCGGAATTTTCCGGGTACTGTACTGGAAAAAATTTCTCAGAATTTCTGGAAAATGCACCTGATTTTCATCTCTTAAAAAAAAAAAAAAAAAAAAAAGACCCCCCATCCCCGAAATTTTCTGGGTACTGGGAAAACGCTCTAGGAATTTTCCAGAAAATGTGCCCCTCGGAAAATCGTTCCCGAAGTGGGAATTTTTTGGAAAATTACAGATTTGGGAATGATTTTCCAAGAAAATTTCAATTCCGGCTATCGGAGAGTTCCGGGTTTGAGGGATTCAGGCTAATGGAGATATTATTATTGCATACAGTATTTGAATTATTATATACAGTACTAGAAAAAGTAAGAGGAAAGAATGTTCTTGACATCCCCATTAAATCAAATCAAGTTTGATTCGGCATAAAGTTAAAAATACAATACGTATACAGGTATTTCGAAGCACACCAGGTACTGTACCAGCGTATGCCTCATATCATAATTGTTTTGAACAACTCAAACTTTTCATGAATTAAATGAGAATTACACTTTTATTTCAACATATCAAATATGACTTCACTACAGACAGTGTATGAATATTCACTGTCTTCAAACTTCAGAAATCTCCAAACTCCAGCAGTAAACTCGTGATAGCTCGGAATTTCATATACAGTAAGTCCTCGTTTAACGTTGTCCAAGACAACGTCGTTTAGTTATCATGTCGCTACTCTTCAGATACCCATGATTCTGACAACGTCCCGACTGATTCGTTATAACGTTGTCACCCAACACGGACTACTTTGTATGGATCATCACCCTCTCCCATCTTGGCGCGCCACTCTCTCTCGCGGAGCGTCACAGCGTCCCCAGTCTTTGTTAAGCTTCCACAGAGTACGTGCATGTTTAAGTGTTTTTGGTCTAAATACTGTACTGTAACCATTTGAAATGGCTTCCAAGCACCCCTCAATTGATAGTAATGTTAGTGTTGTGAAGAAGCAATACAGGTATCAAAATGCTCATCTTGTGTAATAAATAGTGATATCTTCAATAGCCGGAACAATTGGTGCAGAGCACTTCCGGGAAGGAGAGATTTCCTGGTAACGACGATTCTCTCAAAGCAGAAAAAATCCCCCATCCCTGGAATTTTTCGGGTAATGGAAGAATATTTTCGGAAGTTCCAGAATGATGCATTATTTCATCTCTCAAAGCGGCACGGAGGTACGGGCGGAACGAATCAAGCGTGAGATCCATCAAGATTCGGCAGAAGGAAATTCGTGAAAACGTGTCTACAAGTGCATCATTTACTGCGAAGGTGACTAGCCAGGTTAGAGACAACTCTAGTGAAGGTGGAGAAGGCATTAAACATCTGGGTGGAGGATATGAACCAGAAACGTGTCCCCATCGATGGCAACATGCTCAGGGAGAAGGCGCTGTCTTTATGACCAGTTTAAATCTGAGGTTCCTGAGGGCAAAGCATCCACCAGCTCTGAAAAGAACTTTTAAAGCTAGTGCAGGTTGGCTCAACAGTTTCAGGAAGCGTTTCAACCTGAAAAATATTATACTCACTGGCGAATTGGCATCGGCGGACGAGGCAGCTGCACGGGTGTTCCCAGATGAATTCAGTAAATTGATTGAGGAAAGTGGATATCTTCCGGAGCAGGTCTTCAACGCTGATGAAACAAGTTTGTTTTGAAAGAAAATGCCAACCAGAACCTACATTTCCAGTCCGAGAAGCAGGCCCCCGGATTCAAGGTTGCGAAGAACCGCGTCACCGTCCTGCTATGTGGCAACGCAGCAGGGCATATGATAAAGTCAGGCATGATTTATAGGTCTGCCAACCCTCGCGCTCTGAAGAGAAAAAATATGAATCTCCTCCCCGTCTACTGGCACTCAAACAAGAAAGCCTGGGTGACAGCAGTACTTTTCCTTGAGTGGTTCCACAGCTGTTTTATCCCCGAGGTAAAGAGCTACCCAGAGAAGCTGGGCCTGCCTTTCAACGTGTTGCTGGTCGTTGACAATGCACCAGGCCACCCGGATGCCATAAAATTTGCACACGATGAAGTCGAGGTAGTATTCCTTCCACTCAACACCGCCTCCATCCTCTCGACCAGGACGTGATTCGGGGAGTTAAGGCATGGAGGACGGCATGTTATGGCATGCCGGAAGGATTTCAACATTGCCAATTGTATCAGTTTTGTGAAGGAGGCCATGGATGCACTGAAAACAGACGGTTAATTCGTGTTGGCGGGCACTGTGGAGTGACTTCAAGGGATTCCCTACGATCGACTCTGAAGTAAAGCACATCGTGACGGTGGGCAGGGCTGTAGTCGGTGATGGGTTTGAAGACATGGTCGAGCAGGAAACTGAAGAGTTAATTGAAGGGCACAGGGAAACTCTGACTGATGCAGAGTTGGAGGAAATAGTGAGAGCGGACGTAGAAGATGGTGGTGGCGACGACGATGATGAAGAACAAGAAGAGTCAGCATGTTGGGATATACTGTACACAAGTTTAGTGAAGTGTTTCAGTGGCCGAGCGCTTGAAAAACTTAGTGTCTGAGTATGACCCCTCTACGGAGCACAGCATCAACTTCTCACGAGGTCTTACAAGCCTTATGGCTCAGTATAAGAATATGTTCCAGAAGCTTAAGAAACAACAATGACACCTTCCCATCACCATGTTCTTTAAGAAAACCTTAGCATCAACACCATCAGCAGATCAGCCAATGCCCTCAACTTCTTGCAGTGACCTTGAGCTGCCCACATCCTCCCCTGCATCGCTATCTGACCTTGATGATCCCTCCACGGTGACGTTGGAAGGGGATGAATAATATCAAAACAACAACGCATGTCTGTCTACATACAGGTAATGTCTGTGTTCTATTAATGCTCTTATGCACTTGATATTACATTACAGTAGCGATTTATGAGTTCTAGTGTATATGTATGTATATATAGTGAATTAAGGGAGTTTTAGGAGTGTTTCTGACTTTACACGAGGTCCCAGTACAGGTGCTCCTCTACCTAAGAACATTCAACTTAAAAACTTTTAGAGATACAAACATCATCACTGAAGGGGGTTACCTGCCAGAACAGGTGTTTAATGTGGATGAGACTGGATTATTTTGAAGAAAATTCCAGATAGAACAAACATTACTTAAGAGGAGAAGAGTGAGCCAGGTTTTCAGGCTGTATTTAAGGGTATAACTGTACTAAATATCCATAATATTTTAATTTTTTACAATATGTTTGGTATCTACAGGAGTAAAGTTGGACTTACAAACAAGCCTCAGGAACGTAACTCATTCGTAAGTAGAGGAGCACCTGTACATACTATATACTGTAAATGAAAAATCTTTGTGAAACTACAGCTAAGTCTTAAATATGTTTTCCCACATAAATTTAGCATTATTCAGCTTATACAGTCTCTCCTCGACTTTCGACGGGGTTCCGTCCCGACGACCAGGTCATAAGTCGAAAAGGCGAAAATAATACACAGAAATTCTAAAATGGGTGTCTCCTTTTCTTCTCAGCACCACGAGAACTCTCACTTTTACGCTTGCCAGCCATTTTAAAGGGAATTACAAATGAAAATTTTGTCAGTACACAGCGCGATCACTAATGTTGGGACTCGAAAATAAGTAATTTGAAAAATATTTTATAAGACCATCGCGGTCGTATGTCCGGGTTGTCTAAAGTCGAGGAGTACCTGTACTAAACTAAACAATTAATTGTGTGAATGATTTTATATAATATTGCCACATCTCTGTTTTAAAGTTTTGTTGTTTAAACAAGGCACTGATGGGTGGGTGTTGCCCTTCTGTGAACACGTGTAATACAATCAACAATAAGGCTTCATTTTTATCAATATAAAAACAAAACTGCCACAGGAGCATCAGGAAGAATTAGCTGTTATAAAGGCACAAAAATACTCTCCCCAGTAACACACTAAAATAGTCAGATATTGCTTACAGAATGGCGGGAGCCTGGAGATTTAATCAACAAACATATATAAAAGCACTGAAATAACAAATTATCAAATGTTAACATCACTGGTATTAAAAAAAAAAAAAAAAAAGGCAAGATTCAATGAAATTTCAACATACTGTACTGAACTGAACTGTATTATGAAATACAGTAATGTATTAATTTCCCAACTTTCAACACTTGAATCATAATATTGAGATGTAACAAATAACATTCGTTTTGTCATATACTGTACCGTTTATACAGTACAGTGGGGTATGCAATAACGAACGGATCCTACTACGAATATTCCTATAACGAACGGTTTTACCTATAAAATTGAGAATGCTATAACGAACGAAACTCCTACAACGAACATTATTTAAATTTTTTTTTTTTTTTACTAACTTATTGTTTTTTTATTACAAGTATTAATGATATTGGTTATTTCAGGGGTTAAGATGCATATTTATGCACCTTTTTACAATTTTTACAATTTTAAATTATAATTTTCAGTGCTAAGTAGTTGTATTTGGGGGCCTGGAATGGATTAATCCTATAACGAACGAATGCTATAACGAACAAGGTTCTAGAACCAATTAGATTCGTTATAGCATACCCCACTGTACAGTATATTTAAAAACAGCAATTATGATGTAAATCATCATCACCACCACCATTTTATGGCCTTTTCCCACCCCTGCGTGCATTAACCATGATTGCCTAATGGGTAAAATCAAAATGGTACTCCCCACCCTCGATTACCACTGGAAATCCAGGTAATGGTATGTTGCCTTAGCACATAAACCCAGAAGATGCAGCAGAGACCAGGTAATGGGTACAGCTGTCATCAGGCATAATGAAGGAAAGTTTTATGGCTGGATGCCCTTCCTAACACCAACCCATTGGGTGAGAATAGCTGGCAAGGCAGGGTTGCAACCCCCTGAGGTAAACAGAGACTACCCACACACACTAAAAGAAAAGTAAATGATAAATATATGATTAAAGATCGTTTCAGCTTTTACAGTTACAGTAATTATAAATTTTTCTTACAATTTCACTTGCTTTAATTATTTATAATTTTCATTACTTGGGTAAATTTTTAAAAAATTATACAAAAAGCTAATCTAACCTAACCTTAATTATCTTACCTTATTTTATTTGAAATTGTTTAAAAAGGAAAATATCCTAAATTAGGACTATTCACAAATGTCACACGCATCCATGTTCAGGAGAGGCTGGATGCAAGTGAAGAGGAGTTTGGCAGGATATACAGGTACAGTATAAGGAATACAGATACAGTACAGTTATGCTACTCCCTATTGATTGACTGAAATTAACAGTATTAAATTCTAGAACCTCCTTGACGCTCATTGGTCGACCATTCATGACAACTAAGATGGTGCACTGAGGCCAAGAGAAATACAGTAAAACCTCGGTAAATCGGACTTCAATATATCAGAATTCACTCTTTTCGGACTCTCAGATGCTCTGGTCACCAGAAATACTTAAAAAAAAAATCTTATGAAATGAACAACACTTACTAAATACTGTACAGAGGTCCAGTCAGACTTACTATAAGCCTACTAAGAACTAAGACACTTGAGTATGTAAGCAGGCTGGGCTAATCAGGTGTTGCTGCATTTGTCAGGTTTATTTATTCATTGATTCAGTATTATATTCTCATATGATTGGCCTCTTATGGTTTATGGTTCATCATGATTAATATAACAACTTCAGTACTAGAGAAAAAATACATTTAGTCTGATTTATCGAGGTTCTACTGTGATGTAATTTTTGGTAATATCTGAAAACAGCACTACGATCAGTTGTTGTTCTATTTCGTTCATTTATTCCACAAATGTTCTTATCATTATAGTAAGTATTTTTTAAAAGAGGCGACAACTTTTTATTTAAATTATATGTATTTTCTTCTTTTATCTACTATCATAAATCACCTGTAGTCGGCAGGGGATGAGGGAAATTGCAGGGTAAAACACGGTGAAAAACTTTTCATATGACATTAATTATGTCTCTACTTACTTTGTACAGTCTTGGTCAAGATTCTTCGAACACTGCTGGAGACAGCTGGCAACTCAAGGCCGTTTGTTTACTATAGCACGTACAGTAGGGTCAGGCTATATCGCGACTTTATATAAAGATTTTTTATATCGCGGCTACCAAAATTATCAAAATTTTCCTATATATAGCGATAATTATTTTTATTTTGCGAGGGAAATTGGGCAGGAAATATTTGAAAAGTACCGCCATGGCAAACAAATGCGTTATTTGCTCACCAGCGGCGCCACCGTGGCTGCTCACTCACGCATTCATGCTGGCCCGCTCAGTCTTTCTGAGTGAGTGACGAGAAAGCAGCCGACTACTGCAGATTACGACTTCTAAGGTGAGTGTAAATGGGTTTCTAGTGACGTGCAAAGTGAAGTGAAGATAATAGAAAGCTTAATGGAAAAACTTAATACTGTAACTAGTATTTTTGGTTTGTTCGTTTATGATTTAACAAGGGTGGCAGTATGTGGTCTCCAGCAGTGTTCGAAGAATCTTGAACGAGACTGTGCATAAAGAAATTAATTACTGTATTTTTTTTATGGGATTAGCCCACCCAGGCACAGGTCAATGACCCACATCAGGGCCAAGGGGTAACAATAATAATAATAATAATAATAATAATAATAATAATAATAATAATAATAATAATTAATACAAATTAAGTAAAAAAAAAAAAAATAAATAAAATTTACTAATAATACAGTACAGTGAACCCTCGCTTTACGCGGTTTCACTTTACGCGTTTCTGCGTTTCTACATTTACGCAGTACCCTGCCAGAACTGGAATTCCCACTTTACGCGGTGCATCTACTCATATACCGGGTGAAGTATACTTTTTTTATTTAGCTCATAAAATTCATACAAATTACTCGGCCAGAATATAATTTACATTGCTGGAATTCTTACAATTTGATGATCATTTTGAATATAAGCATCATAGATTTTGCATTAGACATACAAATTTTAGATCTAATGCAAGTATTTTGTTTACTCAGAGCAAATATGTTATCTTTTGTGCAAAATATATGACGTGTATATTCAAAATATTCCTGGTCTTGCAAGGAATCCAGCAATGTCAATTATATTATCCTAACTTTAGTCTGAGGTATTATTTATTACTAAAAATGTAAATATACTGTTATAACCCAATCATTTCTCTGGTAGGGAGGGAAGGTGGGGGTGAGGGGTAGGGAGGGACCCAGGGAGCAGGTGGGAAGAGGGGGGGGAGGTGGGGTATTTTGATTGACAGATAGTATTTGGGTAAGTATATTTTGTTTATTTATTGAAGATATTTGTTTTAGCTCATAAAATTCATACAAATTACCGGGCCAGAATATAATTTACATTGCTGGAATTCTTACAATTTGATGAGCATTTTGAATATAAACATCATAGATTTTGCATTAGACATACAAATTTTAGAGCTAATGTAAGTATTTTGTTTACTCTGAGTAAATATGTTCTCTTTTGTGCAAAATATATGACATTTATATTCAAAATATTCCTGGTCTTACAAGGAATCCAGCAATGTCAATTATATTATCCTAACTTTAGTTTGAGGTATTATTTATTACTATACCTTAAAATCTAGTGGTTTTCCACCAAACATTTCTCAGAGAGGGAGGAGCCAGGAGTGTGAGAAGAGGGGGAGGGAGTTGAGTCCATTATTTGAATGGACATTAACTTGGCGACTGTATTTCTCTTAAATATTAATTGTGTGCATGTACCATCATAAAATTAAGATGTTATTTTTACTAGAACATAGGTGTTGTGTCGAAAAAAGTGGAGTTTGGGGGTCAGCCGGTCTCTATTTCATTTAATCCCATATGTTATGTTGTTCACTTTACGCGTTTCTCGCTTTGCCTCCGTGGATTCAATTGACCGCGTAAAGTGAGGGTTCACTGTACTAATACTATTACTACTACTGCTAATAATAATAATAAAGAAACATAAATAAATACAAATAAATTAAAATGATAAATAGTGAGAAACGATGTATGTACGTTGTGTTGTCAGTACTGTAGTAAGAAAACCCTGTAATTGTGTGTAAATGAGGCAGAAAGTCAGATCAGCAACTTGGGACTTGGTCACAATACATGTATTTGTGATGACATGGCCGCAGGGTCTACCATTAGACAACACATTATGCTTCCAATATCTTCCCAGGTGGTAGTACCTCCCTGTTTGGTAGCTGCCTACTACCTACCATCTTACCTACAGTAAATACTCCTCTGAATAATCTGCCAAGTTATCGTTTGTCGTCCATTTGTTTACAATCGATTCACTCGGTCCTCGCGTACTTTCACATCAGCAAAAAATGGTAAAATTACACCATGACACTTCAACAAAGTTGCTTTCATTGGTACTAGGTATCTAAATAAGAACTTTCTGTTTAATATGGCAGGGTGTCTGCCCCCTCCCCCCCCTCGACTAGGAAGTTAGGTAGTTTTCTTTGGTTGGTTAGGTCAAATTCTATTTTTGTGCTTAATATCATATTAGTGTGAAGAAAAAATTTCAACCAATTCGGACAAATCATTCTGGTGGTCACCCTCTTCTGCACCTTAACCAAAATGAACACAATTGAACAGCTCCTTCTGGTGGTAGTGCTGTTCTCAGATATGACCACAAACTTTCATGCATATGCTCACGTGTGGTATTTTTCCCCACGAGTTTTTCTAGTCAATTTCTTAAATCACTAGACAAACACCTTTAATTTAAACACACCTTTCACCCTAAGACTACGAAGTTTATACAAGCCACCAGTTAACAAGCCCTTCATCAAGTGGGTTTATGGCTTCGGCTCTTCTCTCGCACACATTCACACCACAGAAAGTAACACATGGTTCATACTAAAGACATAAGAATAATCTAGTAAGGTGAGGAGGAGTAATAGACATAATACACTGACCTGCCATCAACACTACGTGGCAGCCTCCTCCACAACACTGACACAGGTGTTCGGCTTCCTTGACTCTGGCTTCCATATTTTCTCTTCATAATTACTAGGAATTTATGATTTTACACTACACTAACAATAAATAATATTTAATAAACACTAATTATTATTAAAAAAAATAACATATAAGGTTTTAAACATTTTATAAAGCTGTATAATAAAGTTGAAAAACATTGTACAGGAACTCGAATATTAGATCATGATTATATTCCTTAATGTGAAAGTGGCTTCAAGAAATAACATTCTGACTTAGTAGAATTTATTAAGATAACTCTAAAGATAATTATTGAATAAAAAATTAGAAGTATAGTTATATGAAGGAGTGATATTGTTTATTAAGAACTGCAGGTACACCCCGCCGAGTGTTTGGGTGGAGGCCTTAACATGACGACCTGGTGAACATGGCAAGGAACCTCTCACCAACACAGCAGAAGATTGCTGAGAAGCTCTCCATTTTAAATGACAGGTGTTCCGGCATACTTACTAGAATCTACAACATCAAAAAGGTGCTTCTTGTTTCAATAATTAGTGTATAAGAGGCGGTATCATCCGCCTTGTGACTCAAGTGGGCGAGGCCAGCAATCATTAGTGTTTACATCTAGGTTTTGTGTCTCTCACTTTAGCACAATAATCGTGTTTTGTGTTGTGTGAAGGTGGAATGTGCTTACAGAGTCTTTGCCAAATGCTCAAGGGCATCAATAATATATCCTTCCACAGCGCAACTCTATAATGAACTTTGCTTCCTGTGTTGTAACTCGTGACGTGTTGGACTGACTCTCCCTGTATAACAGTATAAATTTAACCACTGTGTGTGTGAAATATAATATACATATACTTGAGATTATCTTCAACAAACATATTTTCCTCTTTAATGCAAAATATCCCTGAAGGTGAATTTTGATTTAGGTCACATTACTTGATCTTTGTCACAGATGAAGTTCGGGAACAAACTTCATTAGTACAGTACAAAAATTACTCGGTTAATATTAGAAAGTGGATATTTTGCCGTGAACGGCAAAGTTCTTACTGCAGTAATACTATTTTACCGTGAGTGCGCTCTGCTCTGATGAGTTAGTCGTCCATTACCTGCGAACAACATTTGAGTGATATGTGACTATTACTGGTGGCATTTGGCATTTATTTTGCAGAGTTGAAACTATTTAAGACACCTTTCTTCTATGGCATTTCCGTCGGAAATTTATATTTTTACAGTATTTTAATAGATAAAATTACCAACAATATGACTTGTTTAAAGTGGGCAGGGCTTTGAAGTCGAGGGAAAATTTGGGGTAAAATACTAAAAATAACACCAAACAAACATTTTTAAACCTGACCTAACTTTTCCTAACCTTTAAAAATGTTAAGAATCACTTTAGAGTTTATGATTCCCTCCTCATCTGATCACCCAAAACAACAGCAAATACTAAAAACAGAAAACAACACCATTACCTACTAAACAACTAAAACACGAATACGGTCAACTTTTTATAGTTTTAGCCCGAGTCAGTCACATATCATTCTCACGTTGTTCACTGGTAATGGACGACTAACGGATCAGAGCCGAGCGCACTCACAGTAAAACAGCGTTAGTACGTCTTAGTAGGAACTTTGCCGGTTACAGCAAAACATCTTCAGCCTTAATATTAAGAAAATCATAAATAATTTAAAATATATGAGGAAACAATGAAAATTGGAAAAAAATTTGAAATACTGTACCTAATAAGTATTGTCAGTTCATGTGTTTGTAATGTAGCATCAATGAATGGAAAAAAATGAAAAATAGTTTTGGCAAAGTTATTGTTGTTTTTAAGTCATAAATACTGTATACTGTATTATGTATGACTTCCATGTCAAAATTTCCATATACTGTAATCTTAAGTTAAACAAGGCTGTCCACCATTGTGTAATTTCCTCCAAAAATATGTTCTTCTCTTTGATATTTAACGATTATTTTCCCAAGTTTACATTTATATTTTCCATTTGCCCTTGCCAGATTGTATTTGGTGTTTTAAAGGGGAAATATGAATGAAGTTACAGTATTAAAAAAAATCCTTGTATGTACAGTAACATACAAGGAAAGAGTGTATTAGTTACTCTTTTACTAATATCCGTTATCTTTAATATTGTTTGCTTAAGCTTTGGAAATTTCATTTCAGATATTATCAAACTGCTATATGTATGTAAGTACTGTACTGTAGCTACATTAAACCTTTGATAGAGAATGACCCTCTAGAGAGAACACTCCAACAGATTGCTGTCTGCTAATTTAGACCAAATTTGATAGAGATCAAGGAGATCCAATAGTGAGTCACTGAATGGGACCCCCCAAATTATAGAGAATGACTAGATCTTATTAGAAAGTCAACCATTAGTCCATAATTATTATGGCCGAGAACAAAGGGTTCCAAAAGGGAGCTTCTGATCACCGAAAAATGAGCTTGATAAAGCATGGAAATTAAAATTTTAAAGATTGCTGCTGGGGATTTTGGAGGGATTTAGACTGCTTGTGTGGACTGTAAAAGTGTAGGCTAGCCATTTAAAGCTGTAAAGGTTTTTACCACTGTATTTCTTTATAAAGAAAATTATCTTTGTGGGTATGTAAGAATATCAGGAGTCCAGGAATGCATCCCTATTTTGCCTATAAGAATTTAATTTTGATAGCTATTGATTTATCTGTATGTCTTGAATATTATTTGTATGTTATGATAATCCATTGCTTTCTGATTGGAGTTTTTCTGCTTAAAATTCTCAGACATGCAAGATGTTGTTTAAATTTATACAGTACAGTACTGTAATCTACTTATTATATTACAGTAGAACAGTATATACATTTTCACATTGTAGTCTTGTAAACTGCTGACAGAGTACAGTATAAAAATAATAACAGTATCCTGGAAATATAAAGTAGGTAGAATAGTACAGTACGGTACTGAGAGGCCTTAGGAATTAAATGGTCATTGGGGATGTATCACTGTATTGTACTACTGTGTTGATGAGTTTTCTACCTGGGTGAAATGCTGGAGGTGGTACTAAAACTAACTCAGTTGCAAGAGTAAGAAGTGGTTGGAAGAAGTTTAGGGAATTGCAGCATTTATTGATGGCAAAAGGACATTCCCTTCACATTAAAGGAAAGATGAATGCAACTGCTGTGAGAAGGTTGTTGTATGGTAATGAAACATGCATGGGTATAGAGTACTACAGGTTGACAGCCCTTTATCCGAAATTCCCAAAACCGAAAAGCTCTGAAATTTTTTGAAATTTTTTTTTTTTTTTTTTATAACAGGGATTAGCCCACCCGGGCATAGATCACTGACCCACATCGGGGCCTGGGGGGCAAAAATATTATAATAATAATAATAATATTCATAGTAAATAAATTTTTAATAAAATACACCAAATACCCAATAATAAAATAATAATTACAGGCATAATAATTGGTTCTAGAACCTAAGTATAGCATAAAGGATTAATAAAATAAACAAAAAATATAATATAAAATTGCATAAATATGCATCTAAACCCTGAAATAACCAATGTAAAAAAATTTTTTAAAAATGTTCATAATTGATTTAATGATAATAATAAAATAATAAAATTAATTCGTTAACATTAATGCAGGAGTACTGTAATAATAAAATAATAATAAAGAAATACAAAAATGAAAAAAATATCAAAAGTGAGAAACACGACCTAGACCTATGAATTATTATTATTATTATAATTTTTATTATATTTTCGCCCCCCAGGCCCTGATGTGGGCCAGTGATCTATGCCCGGGTGAGCTAAAAAAAAAAATCATTCTGAAAACCGAAAAATTCCAAAATCCGAAATGCCTCTGGCCCCAAGGATTTCGGATAAGGGATTGTCAACCTGTAGTATAAAAGAGCTGAAATGAAAATGGTGAAGTGGATGGGTAATGTGACACTAAAAGATAGGAAACCTTGTTTAGAGCTAAGGGGGCGGCTGGGTATTGAGAGTATGGTCGAAGTTTTGCCGAGAGAAGACCAATTGCATCTAAAGGTGCATGAGTGAATATAACTTTGGATGGGGGGAGAGCCAAGGGTGGGTCAAGAATGACATGGGGAGAGGTTTTAAGAAATTTAATTTAGAGTTAAGAATCTGATAAGAGAAGCTACAAGAGACCTCACAGTTTGGAGATCTGCCATCAGGTAAACACAGCTCAAGAGGTATTTAAAAACTTGGCTTTTTTTGTTATTATTTGATAGTTTCATGAAAGTGTAAAAGACGTACAGTATACTGTATACCATATACATACTGTAGTAAAAAAATTTTGAAAATGTATCAAATTACCTTTTTGTAGGTTATAATAATGTAAGTATGCCTGATATATGGTATTTTGTGTTATTACAGTATGTCTATTAAATAGCAAAGAAATGCATGTTTCTATTTTTAGCATTTTATGGGTTGTATTTAATTAATGCATGTAAAACTATAGAAGAATATGAATGTTTTTCTCTGAAGTAGTAAAAAGTCAAAGAACTCATTATTAAAAAGTTCAGTTCAAAGCAAAGGACAATATACTGTACTGTACAGTACCTCTACTGTACTTGATTGCTTTTTGTGGGTGTTACTCTTGAGGTCTGTGTTGTGTACCTATGATCAAGGAATTTAGAAATTTCCCATTAATCAGTTGATTTGCCGGGCTAGTTATGATAATTTTTGTCTGAAAGTTAATGCTAAAATACCTAAATTTAGAATTAGAAATCAGTAATATTGAAAGAAGATGTTCTGTTTGTTCCTAATTTAAAACCGCAGGTAAAATATGGGGTTTATTGAGAAATGTACACTCTTCCATAATAACTGAAGAGAAAAAAAAGAAATAAATATCTTATTTATTGGGTTATTTTGTGTTTTCAGGCATGTGGGGATGCAAAATCCAAACCAGCATTCTTGTCTGACAAAAGTCTGGAATCATGTATCAAACACATCGTCAGAAAGTTTCCCAGCATCGACAGCAAGTCGGTAAGGACATACCTCAACCTCTTCAAGTACTTTATAGAATAAATGCATTTATTTTCATTAACTGTAAGTAACTGTACAGGTAATTGGAAAAAATTCTTCTTTTCTACAGTATCTCTGTATTAACTCTATTTGTCCCATTAAATTAGTTTAAAACAGGCAAATATTTTCTTTTGCTCTCGTATTAATTTCATAGCTCAGTCAGTGATCCTATCCTATCCTCTGGCACCTATTCTAACTTACCATGGTAATCATTGACACCCTCCTTTTCTAGTGTGGTCTGTCTTTCCCCTCCTACCATTTACATGTATTGTACTGTAGTACTACTTTAACCCTGCAATTCCCGCACTTACCATTTTATTCTGGCTACTGTGAGACGATTTTATTCAGCTTAGGGTAACCTCCCACAGCCAAAGGGTTAAATGTCCATGTTACCTTAACATTGTGTTCCTCAAAACTTACAACTTTGAAGTGATTATTTTGTTTCATAATATTTCTGTTGAACTTCTTTATTAATGGAAATTTTCCATTACAATTATATTTAATCCTTAATTGGCAACTAAGGATTCCATACTCCACCCCATATGTGGAAAAAATGGAATGCAAAAAACTGAAACATCTGCTGATGATGGCTGATGCCCTAACAGCTAACTTCCACTGATTATGGCTACCATTTAAGAGTTAAGGACAAATATAGTACAGGGGGCCCCCCAAATTCGCAGGGGTTAGGTTCTCAAAATGGCTGCGAATCGCCAAATCCGCAAATAACATTTGCGGACTGAGGAGGGGGGGGGGTTGTTACAGTTTTACTTGTGTACGAATAAATGGATATTCCCTTTGTGTTTGCCCTTAGGAAAAATATTTCTTTAACCTGTATTGTGCACAGGTTGAACCTCCCTAATCCAGCACCCTTTGGACCTGACCGGTGCTGGACTATAGAATTTTCCGAACCACAGGTGGTCTTTGTAAAATACATAGTATTATTGTTGTGCCAATCTGACGCATCATATTTAAAATTTTGCGCCTAATGTTTCTCTGGGCATGCTACACTGTCCTAAGGGCAAAGCTGTACTGTACATGTACTCAAAATAATGCACTAAATGATTACTAAAATTTTTGTCTAGTGCAAACTATAGCATGTTTATACAGTGGTCCCCCGGTTAACGAGCACAATTCGTTCTAGAAGGTTGTTCGTTAACCGAAAACTCTTTAACCGAAACCATTGTTTCAATGGGTTTTGGGTAATTGGTTCCAGCTCTCCGAAAATTGCCTAAAATCAACAAAAAAGGTAGTAAAGTACACTAACTTTGAGGTGTGTATGTAGAAGGCTCCTGGATGATGATGATGATGATGATGGGAATTAGAATGGGGGTGGAGGAGAATAGAAGGCATTGGGGTGGAAGAGAAGTCACCCCATGGCGCCATTTCACCCATAAAATTTTAGTTCTCATGGTGTAATTCAAGATTATTTTCTTTAAATCAACACTGCACTTCATTATATATTGTCAATATGTAAAATAAATTTCAATATGACCAATAATTTGCTTGGAAACACAGAAAAAAAGCATTTACCGGTAGTTGAAGAGAGTCTGAAGCAAGATGTTACCTCCACTGAAAAGACACAGAGACTGATGCCTGTTTGGTGTGTTGACAGGCTGTTTGGCGCGCATAAAACTAGTTTCCTGTACTTCAATTATGCTCAATAATTGTTAAAATGACTAAAAAAATTTAATATTAAACTTTTAAAATTATTGAATAGTATAAACTTCTTGATATTTACTAAAATAGTAAGGAATTTAAGCCCTAGAACCGATTACTGTATTGGCGGACTAATGCTACAGCTGGTGGACCTCCAAATGCAAGCGAAAACATGTTGAGGTCGGCTCGTAAGAAACTCGTTAATCGAGGGATTGCTCGTTAACCGAAGTTAAGAATCTTATGGAAGGTAAATCGTTAACCGAAATCTCGTTAACCGAGGGATCACTGTATTCAAATTAATCATTATCTTATAAGAATTCCAGCAATGTAAATTATATTCGCCCCAGTCATTTCTGTGACATTTTATAAGCAAAAAACATAAACTCAAGCTAAAGGACATAAATAAACAAATAAATACTTCACTAGCCCTTCTGTGCCAACTGTCAAACATGTCACTGTCACCCTCCCTCCCTCAGCCAGGGTTTGGTGGTTATACAGTAGGCTTACAGTTTTTATCTTATATAATATCACAGACTAAAGTTAGGAGAATATAATTTGCATTTCTAGAATCCCTGCAAGACAGCGAATAATTTGCATATAAACAACATATATTTTGCACAAGAGAAATTTTTTTTTGCTCTTTGTATGTCTAATGCGAGCTATAGCATGTTTATATTAAAATTAATCACTATCTTATAAGAATTCCATTAATGTAAATTATATTCTCCCATGTCAGTTCAGTGACATTTTATAAGAGAAAAACTTAGTCACTCTTAAGAACAGATAAATAAATAAGCACTAAACCTTGGCATCAACTGTCAATCATGTCACCTCACCTCCCTCTCCCCCATCTTCCCAGCCAGTAAACAGACCATTTCGCATCCCTTAATTTTAGCTGTGTTGATTTATGAGTGTTTGTTTTAACATAATACTGTACTAAAGAAAACAATGTTTTGTTTATTCTAGGAGATGGGCTGAGGTGCATCTGGGTAGACTCAGTCTTTTTAGTATTTTGTGTTTCTCTAAAGTACCAAACTAAATTATTCCATTGAAACAACACTTCGATTTAGTGGGAATTCGATTTAAAGCGACCTCTCTTGGAACATATCTCGTGTTATATCCACGTTCTACTGTACAGTGTACGTAATTGTAATAAACGAAAATAGATAAACAATAATTCTCATTCTGCACTTAAAATGACAAAATAATTACAGTACCTGTACCTGTACATAAATTGGTGATGTTCACCTGTAGAGAAGAAAAAATAACTGTACAGTAAATGAAATAATAAAATAAATATGCTTAGGAGGCATATTAAGGGTAACTAACAAGTGAAATATTACAGAATCACTTGAAATACCGAGGAACGCACCAAACTCCACTAGGACCAGATGTAAACAAAGGGTATGCCGAACCATGGATACGAGCGCTGGTGGGTACTAGCGGCCGTCCGGCAAACTAAAATTTTGCCGGATGATGGGAGGTGCCGGACAAAAAAGTACCTGATTAGGGAGATTCAACCTGTACAGTCTGCGTGGAAATTAAGGTCGCGATAGGGGGGCCAACGAACAAACTTCTCGCTTAGTTAAGTTCATATGTTGTGAAGGCTGTCCCGGGACGCGAGATGTTAGTACGCTTGGTTGGTTGGCAAGTGGTGACACTTGGCAACTGAGCACATGTCACGGCTTACTCTCAGTGCGCCTCTGGCATTCGTGAGGGGAAGATTAACTCTGCGGGTTTGCGCGCCCCTTGGCCATTTTTTGCCTCTTGAGTGCTCAGTGATTTCTTACCTACTTGCGAAAATAATTGGTTCCGGAGGTCTTTTCACAAGTCCAAATTCAGCTCTAGCACTTGCAAACAATGTATTAAATATGAAAAATACCTTATGTACAGCACACTCACAGCACAGTAATCCATCATACAACTTCAATTTTAGTCTTCCAGCCACAAACACAAAAGTTGAACCATTCAATCTGAAAGCACGAGCCACATTTGTCATCTTATCACCCCTTTCTACTTGCTTTACTATAGCCACTTTCGTTTCCATTATAATCATCGTGTGTCTTTTCTTACTCGCACTCTTATCACTTGCACTATCTTTACTCTTCTCGGACATATTGGGTCAATAATGTTTGTAAAAGCCACAAGAAACTGACACCGCTGTAATGCTGCCAACGAGAGACAAGAACAACTAAAATGGCTGTTGGTTGGGTGGGAATATTGGGAGCAGCTCACTAACTCCATCTATTGAGAATCGGTAGAACGAACAACTCTTGCGCTTTCGCACCAAATGGAAATTTGGACATACAGACATGTTTGTTCGTATGTATGAAAGTTCTTAAGTTTAAAGATCGTAAGTTGAAGAGATACTGTACTTTAGTTTCGTTTTCCCATGTTGTTTACAAGTTCACACTCCCAGTATACAGAATCAGAAAATGTAATCAATAATCACGTGAGTGCTGGGTATCACCTGAGATGTGATGTCTTGAGAAACTACACTCTGCAGTTTAATGTTGTCCTCAAACCTGTTAATACCCCCCCCCCCCACACACACACACACACACACGTACGCATGCACGCCCTTTTTTTTTACCGGTCTGCAAAAATATTGGAAGTACAGTATACACTCCAGTCTACAGTGAAATAAATGTTGGGAACCCCTTGTTGTAACAGATGGGATCTACTGTGGCATTCCCCATCCACAACACGGCCCTAAAATATCCAGCTAGTTTATTTTTGTTACTTCTCACAGTAATTATTATGCACATGCACTGTGCAGTAAAGCTTTTAAATAAAAACTTATTTTGCATATATATTAATAGCGATTTCTTCCACAGTTACAAGCCTTGACCAATGTGCGGACAGACATCATGAAGTCCCTCTCCCTCTACTACTACACATTTGTTGACCTCCTTGATTTGAAAGATCATGTTTCTGAACTCCTTACAGTTATGGATGCCTTGGGGATGTCAGAGTCACTTGACATTGTAAGTAAATATTTCCTGGCACTTTTTCATCCCTGTTTTTGCTATATCCAAGTAAGTTTAGATGTCTGACTTGTATATTATATTTTGCATATACAGTGGTCCCTCGGTTAACGAACTCAATTCATTCCAGAGGGTTGTTCGTTAACCGAAACCATTGTTTCAATGGGATTTTGGGTAATTGGTTCCAGCTCACCGAAAATTACATACAAAGTAAAAAAAAAATGCATTAAAGTACACTTACTTTGAGGTGTGTATGTAGAAGGCTCCTGGTTGATGTTGCTGATGTGAATTTGAAGTGGGAGGTGGAGGAGGAGAAGGGAGAAGAGAAGGAAGTGGGGATGGAAGAGAAATCACTCCATGATTGATGCCGTCATTTCACTAATACAATTTTAAGTTCACTAGGTGTAATTCAAGAATATTTTCTTTAAATCAACACTGCACTGCATTACACTATATATTGTCAATATGTTAAATAAATTTCAGAATGACCAATAATTGTACTGTAAAAACGTAAAAATAGTTTATGTTCAAGAGAGCCACAAGCAAGATGTTACCTCCACTGAACAGACACAAACTGACGCCTTGGTGGGTGAGTGAAGTGGCTGATGGGTGCACCAAAAACTAGTTCCCTGTACTGCAATTATGTTAAATAAGTGTTAAAATGACTTAATAATTTTAATATAAAACTTGGAAAAATATTTAATAGTACAACCTTCTTGATATTTACTCAAATGGGAACGAATTTAAGCCCTAGAACCGATTACTATATTGGTGGACTAATCTACCAGCTGGTGAGCAAGCGAAATCATGTGGCCATGTTTTCGTAAGAATTTCGTTAACCAAATTTTTGTTCGTTAACCGAATTGAATATTCTTATGGAAGGTAATTTGTTAACCGAAATTCTGTTAACCGAGGGATCACTGTATATATACCTGCACGTACATATACACTTTTACTCTTAAATCACTACTGTAATGTGATACAGGTGATTAATTTTTATCTCTTGCGCAAAATATATGACGTTTATATTCAAAATATTCGCTGTCTTGCAAGGATTCCAGCAATGCAAATTATGTTCTCCTAACTTTAGTCTGTGATGTAATATAAGATAAAAACTTAAAGTCTACTGAAAACCACCAAACCTTTGCTGGGAGGGTAGGGGGTAGGGAGGGAGGGAATGAGCATGAGGGGGATGGGGGGGGGAGCAGGAGGTGAGGTGATACGGTTTGACAGTTGGCGCCGAGAGGTCTAGTGAAGTATTTATTTGTTTATTTATGTCCTTGAGATTGAGTTTTTGTTTTTTGCTTATACAATTTCACAGAAGTGACCGGGGAGAATATAATTTACATTGCTGGAATTCTTATACGATAGTGACCAATGTGAATACTGTATAAACAAGCTGTAATTTACACTAGACATAACAGTTTTAGTACCGTTAGTACATGTACACAACAGGTTTGCTTTAGGTCATTTATTTCTTTTACTTATCTGTTAGTATGGTGTGTGCATGTAAATGAATGAAAATAAATGAAGAAATTTATGTAAATCTACCTAAAAATACAGTTGAAAAGCTTTACATTATAAAATGTACTAATGTACTAAAAAATTTATTTGTTGTGCAAAATATATGACATTTATATTAAAATTATTCGCTGTCTTGCAAGCATTCCAGCAATGCAAATTATAGTCTCCTAACTTTAGTCTGTGATATAAGATAAAAACTTAAAGCCTCCTGAAAACCACCAAACCCTTGTGTGGAGGGTGGGGGGTAGGGAGGGAGGGGTGACAGTGACATGTTTGACAGTTAGCCGCTGAAGGTCTAGTGAAGTATTTATTTGTTTATTTATTTCCTTTAGATTGAGATTTTGTTTTTTATTATAAAATTTCATAGAAGTGACCGGGGAGAATATAATTTACATTGCTGGAATTCTTATACAATAGTGATTAATTTGAATGTAAACAGGCAATAGTTTGCACTAGACTAAAATTTTAGTATTCATTTTGTACATTACATTATTTTGATTACATGTACAGTACAGCATTGCCCTTAGGACAATGTGTGCATGTAAATGAGTTTCAATAAATGAATAAAGTTACATATATCGAGCCAAAAATAATAGTTGAAAACTATATGTAGACAGAGCTTGGATGGCTAAATTTTAGAATGACCAATAATTTTTACATAAAAAATGCACAATTATTAAAGAGCACAATTTTCTTGATGTTTACTCCACTGGAAACGAATGTAAACATAGAACAGAATACTGAATTGACAGGCTAGCCCATCAGCTGATGCTCACAACAAAACGTGATGTTCGTATACAGTGGTCCCTCGGTTAACGATCGCCTCGGTTAACGAGTTACCTTCCATAAGATTCATAATTTCGGTTAACGAGCAATCCCTCGATTAACGAGTTTCTTACGAGCCAACCTGAACATGATTTCGCTTGCATTTGGCGGTCCACCAGCTGTAGTATTAGTCCGCCAATACAGTAATCGGTTCTAGGGCTTAAATTCCTTACCATTTTAGCAAATATCAAGAAGTTTATACTATTCAATAATTTTAAAAGTTTAATATTAAATTTTTTACTCTTTTTAACAATTATTGAACATAATTGAAGGTAATGAAACTAGTTTTATGCATGCCATCCAGCCTCTCAACACACCATACAGGCGTCAGTCTTTGTATCTTTTCAGTGGAGGTAACATCTTGCTTGAGACTCTCTTCAACTAAATGCCTTTTTTCTGTTTTTGCAAGCAAATTTTTGGTCATTTTGAAATTTATTTTACTTATTGACAATATATAATGCAGTGCAGTGTTGATTTAAAGAAAATAATCTTGAATTGCATCAAGAGAACTAAAATCTCATGGGTGAAATGGCACCATGGGGTGACTTCTCTTCCACCCCAATGCCTTCTCTTCTCCCTTCTCCACCCCCATTTTAATTCCCATCATCATCATCCAGGAGCCTTCTACATACACACCACAAAGTAAGTGTACTTTTCTACCTTTTTTGTTGAATTTAGGCAATTTTTGATGAGCTGGAACTAATTACCCAAAAACCCATTGAAACAATGGTTTCGGTTAAAGAGTTTTTCGGTTAACGAGCAACCTTCTAGAACTGATTGTGCTCGTTTACCGAGGGACCACTGTGTGTGTGTGTGTGTGTGTGTGCGTGCGTGCTTGCGTGCGTGTGCGTGCGTGTGCTTAGAGAGTGGGGTGACTACACTGCCTGATCCAGCAAATATTCCCTTCTTGCTAGGCTTGAAATTTCCAGAGTTGAATGTGGAAACCCATAGATAATTAAAACAGGATACTGTACTGTAGTTGGTAAAATGGTGTATAATACCGTTCAATATTTAAAATGTGGGGACTTAAAAAGGCAGATGGTGAGGGATTACTGTTCTGTTATTTGAAATGTACAACAGTTATCAGTCTTCTTATTTATCTTCTTATGGATATCTTTCAGAATGTGAACTTTGAACTAGCTAAGAGCTACTTGGACCTTGTAACGAACTATGTAACTTTGATGATCCTTTTGTCACGAGTGGAGGATCGCAAGGCTGTGCTAGGACTCTTTAATGCTGCTCACGAAATGGTCAATAATCAGGGGTGAGTCTGGTGTTTGTAAGTTGTTTACAGATGTTTTTAAATAAAATGGTAACAGTGAGTCATTAATCATATGGTAATAATGTGACCTGAAGGGGAGAGTCGGGTTTTTGGTGTAGGTGCTTTTAATTTTGGTTGATTGTTATTATCTTCCTGTCATTAATCAAGGATCATATTTACATCAATTCTAGCCCCATAACCCCCCTTCTACCCTTTCAAAATTTTCAACCCTTAACACATTTTATCGCATTTGTCTAAATTTTCAAGGTGTAATTTCTCCATAACTTCTTTCTATTTTGCCTTGAAATTGATCGTACTAAGAGATCTAGTATTTTCATTGAATATTCCAGAGTGATATGATTGTTTTTTTCTTTGGTTTTAAGGATAAAAATAATTTAAACATTGGTTGAAATTTTCATAAAAATATCTAGAATAAATATTCAAACAAAAATAAATCTTACAAGATAGAAAAAATGGGACTCTGGAGTTATGTTGAGGAAAGGTTCTTCCTGTGCTGAGTGTTTGTTTCATTGAAATCAGTAAAAAAAACTGGATGAAAAATTCCAATCTGAGTGTTGGAAAGTTCATTTTGAAATAGGCCGATAAAGTTTCTCAACCTGTCTCCCCTGTGTAAGTGCTCATTCTGAGCCGATTTTACGTGTAATATCTTGTTGTTTTTGTGTGTGTATTATTACATCTCTAACTGAACTCCAGGTGGAAGGCTGGGGCTGGGCTGCATCAGGTGCCCTCTGAGACGGCTGTTACCGTCACTATTTTAGCGAATATTTTCTTCTTTCGTCCTCTTGGATTTAGCAGTGCTCTTGGCTCGTGCTTCCTTTAGTTGTCTTTTATGTTTTGAATCACGTGCCATCCTGATATTTGAGGAGAGAAGATGTGCAGTGCAGCAGAGTACGAACCTCTCCTTGACAAGGTCCGAGACATACTGATGATACTGTTCTTACCACCTCCCTATACTTGCCAAAGAGGAAGAGAGTTGTATGAAATGAATTTTTAAAGTCTTTTTTTGTGCTATTTATTCTAAATTTTGTGGGAAAATATTTTACCACGATCATTCATATATCTACCCAAGGAAGGTTGGGGGAGGGGGAAGCCATACATAATTGCATGAATATAATGAATATTGCCATAAAACTCCTTCCAGATACAGCTATAGGCAACACCTTTGCTCGGAAATTTTTTCATATTTTATGATTATTTTTCATTTCTTATCGATAAAAGCCGGACTCTCCTCTGAAGTTTATCTGTAGGGATCACTTTTCTGTTGAAGATAAAGATAATATGTGGATTGGTTCATAGATGTCTCATTACTTTTTTAAAGGATAATGCAAACATCAGTCTGAATATTTACTTATGACTCAGTTATTATATAATGGATATCCTTTCAGAGATCCAAGTTTTCCACGTCTTGGTCAAATGATAACGGAATATGAAAGTCCGTTGAAGAAATTGAGTGAAGAGTTTGTTCCCCATGCCAAGCTTCTATCTGTTGCTCTCAGCTCGCTTTGGATTCTCTACCCACGGAGAAATCTACGAGCAGAACAGTGGAGGTAAGAGGATGTGAATTATATGTCATTTATAGTAGACATAATTAACTTTTAAGTCTTGCTTAATGAGTTCGTTAGGATCAACCTGTGTATTTCAGTAAAAAAATTAAAAGGAAAAATGAGATATAACTTGATATGCAAAACTCAATTCTTACCCTGCTGATTCCTATCACTATCTAATAGGATCATTTTCAAACCATTTACTTTTACTCAACCCTTTCATACTATATTTTTTTCTCCATGTAACACCACTAACCAATTTTTCCAAATTTTAAACATCAAACATTCCATTTGGATCAGTTAAGAAAAAGTTTTTTTGTTCATGATATATTAACTTACTTTTCCATCTTGTTTTTCCTCTCAGGGCAGCACAGATGTTAAGTTTGGTAAGCACACCTAGTCAGCTCCTTAACCCTGCACAAACTGATGTGATGCCCTGTGAATATCTCTCTCTTGATGCTATGGAGCGATGGATCATCTTGGGCTACATGCTAATACCTCAGACACTCCAGAAACCTCAGGCCCTCGAGTGCTGGACACAAGCATTGCAAACTGGTTGGGCCATTACTTTGTTCAGGTAAAATATATTTCATTTTGTCTTTTGTTGGAACAATTGGTGTAGGGCACTTCCGGGGATGAGAGATTTCCAGGTAACAAGATGATTCTCTCAAAGTCAGAAAAAATCCCTCATACCCGGAATTTTCCAGGTAACAGAAAAATTTTCTCGGAAGTTCCAGAAATTGCCTATTACCTCATCTCTCGAACCCAGAAAAATATCCCCCATCCCCAGAATTTTCCGGAAAATGTGCCCTCAGAAAATCGTTCCGAAAGCCGGAAAATTTCGGCATTGGGTACTATTTTCCGAGAAATTTTCAATTCCGGCTCGGAGAGTTCTGGGTTTTAGGGATTCCGGCTAACAGAGAAATTACAGTAAAGCCTCGAATAACGATGGTAATGTGTCCTCCAATATTGCAGTGTATGGTGAATCATCGTTTCGCAAATCATTAATTACTGTACCATTAAAATAAAACAATAATAATGAGATGCGTTCCCAAGTGTGACCTTTTCATATCTTTTGTGTGGCTTTTTATCCTCTTTTCCCCCAAAAGCAATACAATTAATGAAAATTGCAAACTATAGTCTTTAAATAATGTTTCTGAATGCACCTTATACAATATAAATGGTCACACAAGAGGAGATGGGACGCCATTGTTTTCGTTAGTGTTTACAGCCGGGAGTCCGAAACGATAGTTCTACACGAGAAAATTAAGAAAATAAGACCCTGATTGTAGCTGTAGTAAAATTAATGTAAAAAAAAATAATATTTATGTTTTAAGTAATGTCATTTAATGTTAATAAATGGAACAATAGAAGTAGCTAACCACAATTGGCAAAGAAAAAAAGAAGCGAGATGGATTGGGAACGCTTACATATACGTGCGCATTTAAGGATACCGTGTCATTTATCTTTTTAAGAATATGTACAAAAGATTCATTATTGTTTATTACTAAATATGTATTTGATTGAATTAATTTTTATATATGCGAAATGAACAATACAATTCATTAATAATACGTAGAACATTAAAAACACAAGAGGATAAGAGATGGCATTGTTGTCAGTGTTTACACCCATAATGTCAGTTGTCCACTTGAAACTGAAGAAAATAAGACCCTGGTAGTTGTTGTAGTAAAATTAATGTAAAAAATATGTAAGTTTTAATTACAGTGGTCCGTCGGTTAACGAACACAATTCGTTCTAGAAGGTCATTTGTAAACCGAATCCATTGTTTCAATGGGATATTGGGTAATTGATTCCAGCTCACCGAAAAGTACATACAAAGTAAAAAAAAAATGCAGTAAAGTACACTTACTTTGAGGTGTGTATGTAGAAGGTTCCTGGTTGATGATGATGATGGGAATTAGAAGTGTGGGTGAAGGAGAAGGGAGAAGAGAAGGAAGTGGAGATGGAGGAGAAATCACCTTTCAGGGGACCCATGCTTGATGCAGTAATTTCACCAATAAAATTTTAAGTTCACTAGGTGAAATTCAAGATTATTTTCTTTAAATCAACACTGCACTGCACTATACAGTATATTATGAATATGTTAACTAAAGTTCAGAATGACCAATAATTTCAATGATAAAAGCAAAAAATATTCGACACCAACAAAATAGATGCTCTCTCCACTGTTTTCAAAGCCCAAGTGACGCTTTGTGACCGACTCACGCATCTGATGGGCGCACAACAAACTAGTTCCCTGTACTGCATATATTATCAATATGTTAAATAAATGTCAAAATGACTAATAATTTTAATATAAAACATGCAAAAATATTAAAGAGCACAACTTTCTTGATATTTACTCCATTGGAAACGAATGTAAACATAGAACAGATTACTGAATTGGCAGACTATCCCATCAGCTGATGCTTACAACAAAACAAGATTTTAGTAAGGATTTCGTTAATCGAATTGCAGATTCTTATGGAAGGTAATTCGTTAACCGAACCGTTCGTTAACCGAGGGACCACTGTAATGTTATTTAATGTACAGTAGAAGTAACCACTGATATTAAAGAAAAATAAGTGAGTGATAGTTAAACGCCAATGTATACGTGCACACTCAAGGAAACATAAGCCATTTATCTTAAGAATATGTACAAAAGAATCATTATTGTTTATTACTGAATATGTATTTGATTGAATTAATGTTTATATATTTGAAATGAACAATGCAATACGTAGAATACTAAAACACACGAGGAGACAAGACGCATTGTTTTCGTGAGTGACGATGGTTCTACATAAGAAACTGAAGAAAATAAGACCCTGGTTGTAGCTGTAGTGAACTTAATGTAAAAAAATTAAATTGAATACCTGTATGTATGTTTTAAGTAATGTTATTTAATGTTAATAAATGGAACACTAGAAGTAGCTAACCACTAATGGTAAAGAAATAAAGCGAGACAATTGGGAACGCCAACGTATGTACAGTAAGTGTGTACATGTGAAAACATATCGTCCTTTTCTCTACATATGAATATGAAAGCAGCACTTATTTACTGTTCATATATGTTTTAAATAATATTTACGAATGTAAAACAAAAATTCTACTCACCAATAGCGGTAAAGTCTAAAACATAAGGACAGCCAATGATGATGTGCGAGCTTTTACTCAGATGACGAAGTCATCAGGTTCAACTCTGGCTTAAGTTGTAGCTTTCCATAAATCTGTTGCTGAAACTGTTACTGAGCCTGAAGTTGATGGTGACTGAAGTTGGTGGTTTAGGTCTTCGAATAATAAAGCTGTCGAAAGAACTTTGCACAGCTGCTTTCTTTTTCATTATACATCTTTATGGAGAGGTCATTTGCGTTTATTTAAATTTTAATGCGTTTTTCTGTTAATGGATCCACTTCAGAAAATATTTTAATTGCTTGCCCCATATAATATCCACAGACCTCTCACCTTTTTCATATCGTTTTAACACATCTAGTTTCTCGGTTAAGATTATACACTTTCTATTCGCTTTTGAACCAACACTACCATCACTTGCCTTCTTGCTCATGTTGAATAGGGATGCTAAAATGCTGTGAGAAACCTGAGAAAGTTTTTCTTCTTTTCCTGTTCAGATGCGTGAAAACTAAGGGCCCGCCAGCTGCGATTGTTTATACAGTGACCCCTCCGTTAACGAACTCAATCCGTTCCAGAAGGTCGTTCGTTAACCGAAACCATTGTTTCAATGGGTTTTTGGGTAATTGGTTCCAGCTCACCGAAAATTTCCTAAATTCAACAAAAATGGTAGAAAAGTTCACTTACTTTGAGGTGTGTATGTAGAAGGCTCCTGGATGATGATGATGATGGCATTTAGAATGGGGGTGGAGGAGTAGGAAGAAGAGAAGGCACCCCATGGTGCCATTTCACCCATAAAATTTTAGCTCTCTGGTGTAATTCAAGATTATTTTCTTTAAATCAACACTGCACTGCATTATATATTGTCAATATGTAAAATATATTTCAAAATGACCAATAATTTGCTTGGAAACACAGAAAAAAAGCGTTTAGTTGAAGAGAGTCTCAAGCAAGATGTTACCTCCAGTGAAAACAGAGAGAGACTAACTCCTGTTTGCTGTGTTAAGAGGCTGGATGCTGCGCATTAAACTAGTCACTTTACCTTCAATTATGTTCAATAATTGTTAAAATGACTAAAAAATTGAATATTAAACTTTTAAAATTATTGAATAGTATAAACTTCTTGATATTTACTAAAATAGTAAGGAATTTAAGCCCTAGAACTGATTAATGTATTGGCGGACTGATACTAAAGCTGGTTGCCCGGTCAGTGCAAGCGAAAACATGTTGAGGTCGGTTCGTAAGAACTTCGTTAACCGAATTTTTTTTTCGTTAACCGAATTGAAGATCCTTATGGAAGGCAGTTCGTTAATCGAAATTACGTTAACCGAGGTGTTCGTTAAACGAGGGGTCACTGTACTAGGGATGCTGGAGTCACCACTGACAAGCCCGGCAGCCTACGTGTGCAAGACGTGTTTCTTTTTATATAATATCGGGATTTAGTTATTATTCATATGAAAATGTAATATATTTTTTTAATTTCATTGTAAATACGAAGAAAGTAATAGCGTAAATTGAATTGGGTCCTTAATTAACCAGGGTCTTAGATATGAATCTTCGTTAGTTGAACCGTCGTTATTGGAGGCGTTACTGTACTACAGTAGAACGTCGATTTAAAGCGATTCAATTTAAGATTATTGATTTAAAGCGACACCCCACAATTAAGGACAATGTCTTAATTTAAAGCGAATCTTTCTATTTTGCTTGAGTCAATCTGGTGCATCATATTAAAAATTCGCGCCTAATTTTTTTCTGGGCACACTACTGTCCTAAGGGCAAAGCTGTACTGTACATGTACTCAAAATGCAGTAATGTACTAAATGATTACCAAAATTTTTGTCTAGTGCAAACTATAGCATGATTATATTCAAATTAATCACTATCTTATAAGAATTCTAGCAATGTAAATTATATTCTCCCTGGTCACTTCTGTGACATTTTATAAACACAAAACAAAAACTCAATCTAAAGGACAAATAAAGACTTCACTAGACCTTCGGCACTAACCGTCAATGTGTCACTCACTTACTCCCCCTTCTTCTTCCCAGCCAGGGTTGGGTGGAAAGAACAGATTTGCAACAGCCAATCAGTTGTAACTCTTGAGGAGGGGGCGGGCATCTTTTCTCAGCTGAGAAAAAACGCAGTACAGTAGTACCCGATTTACGCGGTCAATTGAACCCACAGGGTACCGCGGAAAGTGAAAAACCGCGTAAAGTGAACAACAGAACATATGGGATTAATTCCAATAGAGACTGGCCCTACCCCCAAACTCCACTTTTTCCGACACAATACCTATGTTGTAGTAAAAATAACATCTAAATTTTATGATGGTATGCTCACACAATAAATATTTAAGAGAAATACAGTCGCCAGGTTAATGTCCATTCAAATAATGGACTCAAATCCCCCTCCCCCCCTCTTCCCAGCTCACTAGCTCCTACCTCTCTGAGAAATGTGTGGGTGAAAATACAGTTGTACCCCACTTAACGCGGTCAATAGAACCCAGAGGGTCCCGTGTTAAGTGAAATCCGCGTTAAGTGAACAACAGAACATATGGGATTAATTCCAATAGAAACCGGCCCGACCCCCCAAACTCCACTTTTTAAAGGCACATACCTATGTTGTAGTAAAAATAACATCTTAATTTTATGATGGTACATGCACACAATTAATACTTAAGAGAAATAGAGAAATACAGTCGCCAAGTTAATGTCCATTCAAATAATGGACTCAACTCCCTCCCCCTCTCACACTACACTGCCGGCTCTTCCCTCTCTGAGAAATTTTTGGGGGAAAACCACTAAATTTTAATAAATAATACCTCAAACTAAAGTTAGGATAATACAATTGACATTGCTGGATTCCTTGTAAGACCAGCAATATTTTGAATATAAATGTCATATATTTTGCACAAAAGATAACATACTTACTCATTAAAAATTTTATCTAAAATTTTTATGTCTAATGCAAAATATATGATGTTTATATTCAAAATGATCACCAAATTATAAGAATTCCAGCAATGTAAATTATATTCTGACCGGGTAATTTGTATGTATTTTATGAGCTAAAACAAATATCTTCAGTTAATAAAAAAAATAATAATCTTCAGGACACTATCTGTCAATCAAAGTACCCCACCTTGCCTCCCCCCTCTTCCAACCGCGTGGTCAGTCCCAACCCTCCCCCCCACCCCCCACCAATCGTCCCTTCAAGAGATGTGGGGTGAAAAAAATAAATTTTAAAATTTTGTATTAAATAATACCTCAGATTAAAGTTAGGATAATATAATTGACATTGCTGGATTCCTTGTAAGACCAGGAATATTTTGAATATAAATGTCATATATTTTGCACAAAAGATAACATACTTACTCTGGAGAAAATTTTTATCTAAAATTTGTATGTCTAATGCAAAATATATGATGCTTTATATTCAAAATGATCATCAAATTGGTAAGAATTCCAGCAATGTAAATTATATTCAGACCGGGTAATTTGTATGAATTTTATGAGCTAAAACAAATATCTTCAGTTAATAAAAAAAAATAGCCACAGGGTAACAGATGGTCGGTCGGTCCCTCCCTCCCCCCCACCCCCCACCAACCGTCCCACCAGATGTGTGGGAACACCAGAATATTTACCTTTTTTGTAATAAATAATACCTCAAACTAAGTTAGGATAATATAATTGACATTGCTGGATTCCTTGTAAGACCAGGAATATTTTGAATATAAATGTCATATATTTTGCACAAAAGATAACATAGTTACTCTGAGAAAAATTTTTATCTAAAATTTGTATGTCTAATGCAAAATATATGATGTTTATATTCAAAATGATCACCAAATTATAAGAATTCCACCAATGTAAATTATATTCTGACCGGGCAATTTGTATGAATTTTATGAGCTAAAACAGGCAGTCAGGCAGGGGGGCGGGTGGGGCAAATCTAAAAATAGGGTGGGGCAAATCTAAAAATAGCGTCTGGAGCCGGACACTCACCGCGTATATGTGGAAAAAATCCGTGTTAAGTGAAAGTTCAGCTCTGGCGAGGCACCGCGTATATGATAAAACGCGTTAAGTGAAACCGCGTTAGGCGGGGTAATACTGTACTAGATTTTAACGTTTAATAATAAATAATACCTCAGACTAAAATTAGGATAATATAATTGACATTTCTGGATTCCTTGCAGGTCAGGGAATATTTTTAATGTAAACTTCATATATTTTGCACAAAAGATAAAATATTTGCTCTGTGTAAACCAAATTATTACATTAGATCTAAAATTTGTATGTCAAATGCAAAATCCATGATGTTTATATTCAAAATGATCATCATATTGTAAGAATTCCAGCAATGTAAATTATATTCTGGTCGAGTAATTTGTATGAATTTTATGAGCTAAAACAAATATCTTCAGTTAATAAAAAAAAAATAATCTTCACACTATCTGTCAATCAAAGTACCCCACCTTGCATCCCCCCTCCTCACACTCACGCCAGCTGGGTCGGTCGGTCCCAGCCCTCCCCCCCCACCCCCCACCTTCCCTCCGTACCAGGGAAATGATTGGGTGAAAATACTAGATTTTAACTTTTAGTAATAAATAATACCTCAGGCTAAAGTTAGGATAATATAATTGACATTTCTGGATTCCTTGCAGGTCAGGGAATATTTTGAATGTAAACTTCATATATTTTGCACAAAAGATAAAATATTTGCTCTGTGTAAACCAAATTATTACATTAGATCTAAAATTTGTATGTCAAATGCAAAATCCATGATCTTTATATTCAAAATGATCATTATATTGTAAGAATTCCAGCAATGTAAATTATATTCTGGCTGGGTATTTTGTATGAATTTTATGAGCTAAAACATATATCTTCAGTAAATATACAAAGAAATATTCTTCAAGGACACTATCTGTCAATCAAAATACTCCGCCCTAGCTGGGTCAGTCCCTCCCTCCCTTCCTCCCCACTCCCCACCTTCCCTCCCTACCAGAGAAGCGAAAAAAAAAAAATAGTATATTTACATTTTTAGTAATAAATAATAATTCAGACTAAAGTTAGGATAATATAATTGACATTTCTGGATTCCTTGCAGGTCAGGGAATATTTTGAATGTAAACTTCATATATTCTGCACAAACGATAAAATATTTGCTTTGTGTAAACCAAATTATTACATTAGATCTAAAATTTGTATGTCTAATGCAAAATCCATGATGTTTATATTCAAAATGATCATCATATTGTAAGAATTCCAGCAATGTAATTTATATTCTGGCCGGGTAATTTGTATGAATTTTACGAGTAGATGCACCGCGGAAAGTGAAAGTCCAGTTCTGGCAAGGTACCGCGTAAATGAGAAATCACGGAAAGTGAAACCGTGTAAAGCAGGGTAATACTGTATAGTACTTTATCTAAACCTGACTTAACCAACCAAAGAGATAGTTCAACCTAACCTTAAATAACTTCCTAGCCAGAGGGCTCCACCTCCCAGACCCCCCCCACCATATTCAACAGATAGTACTTATTATGATATCTGGTACCAATGAAAGCAATTTTGTTGAAGCATCATGGTGTAATTTACTTTTTTTTGTGGATATGAGAGTACGCTCGGACCGAATGAGTCATTTGTAAATAAAGAGACGACACGCGGTGACCCATCAGATTTTTCGGAGTTGCATTTATGGTAAATAATTAATTTCTTCATGTACAGTCTTGTTCAAGATTTTTCGAACGCTGCTGGGGATAGCTGGCAACTCAAGGCTGTTTGTTGACTATAGTACTTCGTAAAAATTATGAATAAATGTAAAAGTGATCTGTGATTGGTTACTTAGTTCCCCGTTGCTTAATTTAATGGTTGGGCTTTGTTGTTTCGTATTATATTATACTACGTACAAAACTGGGTGACCTGATATTGCATTAGAAGGTCGATAATATGGGACCCCACACTACCTCCACCTGACATTGCATCAGGTCAGGTCAGTTACATGTGACCCACTAATCCCCCACTGCTCCGTGGGAGTGAAAAATATCAGTCTCCGCTGTAACACACAGCTTCATTCATGCCCGTATCTTATAGATTTTTTATTTGTTAAACTGGTTTTACAGATTCTGAATATTTGGACTCTTGGAAAACTTTTCCTAGTGTCTGTGTGTAAGATGCATAGTTTAGACTCTTGGAAACTTTTCCCAGCAACTGGAAAAAATCCTGGGGATAAGGGATTTTTCCAAGTTTGAGAAATTCGTCTGGTTTTCCCGGAAATCTCTCATCCCCAGAAGTGCTCTCCACCAAATACTCTGGCTAATGGGGATATCACTTATTAAAGTTTGCTGCTTTTATTCTTGAGTTCCAAAAAGTGGTTTAGGTATTGCACAGAAGAAATATTTATGTGACAAATTAATTGCTTAGATGTAAGAAGGAATGACTTCCCTGGGAGATACAATAACCTAAATATGCACTGGAAAGAGTGACTCAAAAGAGAAGAATACAGAAATATTAAGTAGAATTAAAAACCTGCTGTACACTGGTAAAACAGTTGAAAATTGTGAAACAAATCTTAAAATTACCTTGTACTGAGGTAAATAGGATTGAACATTAGAGAGGAAATTATAAGGAAGAACTTCATATGGTTGTTTTTGTGATGGAACTAAAATATTTAGCTAATGCTTGGTAAGAGATGTTATTTGATGACATGTCAGTATTATTCATAATGTTTTTATTTTGTCTTACAGAGATGAAGTGCTGCATCCACATTCATATGTCCAATCCTTCTTAGAAACTAAAAAAGAGCTGAGTAAACGTATATCGGATGTCAAGGAGAGCTATTCTCAAGCTGTTACTCATGCGTATGTTGGGTGATGTTTTGTTATTTTTCTGATGTGTAAAATTTGCTTATAAGGTTGACTATTGTAACATCTAAAAGGATTTTATTTTTTCTCTGTTGCATATGCCTTTATTCCTGGCAGAATTTCCTCCGTATGTCATATTTCAGAACCAATTTGCAGATTCCTCGATGGAGGACTTAGGTGCTGCATATTCTTTGCATCTGTTCTTCAGTCATATCATTTAGTTCTCACTTGTTATCAGAGCTGATTTTAGCATTTCAATACAGTACATACAATACATTAAAACCCCTTTAATATCATCTTAACTTGGAAGTGGTCTTGATATTGTAAGTGAAAAGTCTAGTTTAAAGAAACATTCCTTGGAATTAAGCTATTTAGCCATGAAAATATACCATGCTGTAGAGTCTGATGCTGTATGACATGGTGGTCACTTTTGGTCAGGTTAGGTTGGAACATACAGTGCACTGTACTTATTAGTCATGGTCAGCTCACTGTCCTCCATTATTGCCACAGGCCACTCATGCATCGTGAGCGACGTAAATATCTCCGGACAGCCATGAAAGAACTGGCCCTAATCTTGACTGATCAACCAGGATTATTGGGCCCCAAAGCCCTTTTTGTATTCATGGGCCTCAGCTTTTCAAGAGATGAGGTAAGTGTTTTTTGTTTTTGTTTTGTTCTAATTCTTTTATTTAATACCAGCACAGTTCTTAAAGAGTTATTTCAAAATTAGTATGATAAGTTGTCTGTATGTAGGTTACTGTTCATCATCATGTGTTGACAGTGATATTCACATTAATCCATTTTTACTCTCCCCAAAAAGTATCAGCCCCTTTTCTCATCAACACCTGAATTGAATTGAATTGAATTTAAACATTTTATTTAGCCAGAAAAATACAGATACAGAGTGGATAATAATGACAATATTAACATGACTGAGCCAGTTGAGAACCTGAGCTCTCTTTTAGGCACCTGATATATACTATACATTTATCTCAAGGAAGTATTATGTAACATTTAGTATCATCTGGAATAGTACAATAGCATGGTGGTAATAAGAACATCTCATAATGTTACCACGGTTATCACTTCAATATTTATTAATTTTATTTATTTATTATTATTTTTTTAGTTGCTTCAGTTTTTATTTTATTTATATGTACATAAATTACAGTGGAATTGAAAAACATAAGTATAATGGGGGTGCAGTACAACATGGGTTGTACAGTAATAAGGTTGAACAAGAGGACAGAGCTGTCAGGATTATGTCTAGTTGGCAATTATGTTTATTGCAGTGGTAATTACTTATCTATTTACATGATAATTTCCGATAAAACGGTTTTGATGGTACAATAAAAGCAGGTACTGTAAATATAGTAGGTGTTACAAGAAATATTAATACTTAGACTATAGATATTTTTTAAGAGATGATTTAAAGGAAGGGAGCGTAGTCTTTGCTCGGATGGGTGGGGCCAAGTTGTTCCACACCTTCACACGGTGATATTTTATGGAGGTCTGGGACTGAGAGGAGCGCATGGGGGGGTGGTCTTAGTAGCTCTGGGTGCCTTAAGTTGTATCTCTGATTATTCCGGAACTGGAAATAATTATTGTCAAGCAAGTGATTGATAGATTTGTAAACAAAGAGGGCACAGCAGTAAGTGTTAATATTCTCGAATTTTTTAAATTTCAAAGCTGGAGTGCACATGTACTAATTTGATTACGGTACTAAAATTGTTATGTCTTGTGCGAATTATAGGTTGTTTATATTTAAATAAATCAACATCTTACAAGAATCCCAGCTATGTAAATTATATTCACCCAGGTCATTTCACTGGCTTTTTATAGGAGAGAAGCTTAGTCACTTAAGAACTGATAAATATACACGCGTTAGACCTGGGCCTGTGCCAACTGTCAAACCACTCCCCTCCCTCCCTCCCCCCTCCCTCCCTCTCTCTCCCCCATCTGCCCAGCGTTGCTGGAATCCTTGTAAAACGGTGAATAATTTTAATATAAACGTCATGTATTTTGCACAAGAGATAAAAATTTATCACCTATATCACATTACAGTAGTGATTTAAGAGTAAAAGTGTATATGTACGTATATAGTATTCCACATACTCGTAAGTATAAATAAAAAGTTTGTGTGATGATCGGACAACGTCCATTTCGGTTAACGTCACGTTTCCAAGAACGTATCTAGGACGTTAACCAGCTCATGGCTGTATTGCAAATTTTTTATTTGTGTGATCTGTTATTTTCAAGTAGGTCATTGTCTGTACAACTCTCTTTTGTGCAGTAACCAAAGATTGTGTTTTTGAAGAGCCAGAGGCCCCCCATAGTGTGTGACAGTGTATCAGGTGTTGGTAAACAAGATCATGATAGATTTCTTTCATTGCTGTGAGAGTGAGTGACTGTTGAGTGTGATGCATGATACCGCACTGTTTATTGACTTTACTGTGAATGGCTTGTGTGTGGTTTCTCCATTTAAGTTTCTCATCAACAATAACTCCGAGGAATTTAGTATTTTGTTCGTGTTTGAGGACTTTATTACCAATGTACAGGGGGTCCAAGTTTGGGGGTAAGTTTTTCCTTCTGTGAAGGATCGTGCAGTAGGTTTTCTTAAGGTTTAAGGTCAGTTTATTACGTATTAACCAGATCCTGACTTTAGTTAATTCAGTGTTCATAGTTCTCATCAAGGAATGGAGGTCTGAGTTGCTGGCATAGAGATTACTATCGTCTGCAAATAAGTTGTATTTTATGAGTGTGCTGGCGTGGACTATGTCGTTTATGTACAACAAAAACAGTACTGGACCGAGAATGGAACCTTGGGGGATGCCGTACAAGATCGGCGAGGAGTCAGATTGGTGATTATTATAGCAGACATACTGCATCATGTTGGACAGATATGAGGTAAGACTGCCACCACCATCCCAGTCCCTAAACCAGGCGGACAAGACGAATATCGTCCAATCTCCTTCATCTCCTGCTTCTCAAAGATGATGGAATGCAAGATATGCCACCACCTCCACTGGAAAATTGAAGCCCACCTGCACCCTGACCTCTATGGGTTTCACCCTGGGAAGAGTACTACTCACTGCATCGCTCACTACATGGCGAACACCTCAGCCAAAGCCTCCCTCTTCGTCAACTTCAAGGGTGCATTTAATAAAGTCAACAGTGAAGTGATTCTTGAGGGCTTCACGCACATGGATGTGAAGGGCAAACTCCTCACATGGATTGCTGACTACCTCTCCCATCGACAGGCCCGTATCCGTTTTCAGGGCCACTACTCTATGATCAGGGACCTTGATCTTGGCACGCCTCAGGGCGGTGTCCTCAGCCGCTCCAACGACATCTTTGCTGAGCGAGCCCTAGACGGACACATCATAAGTTACGCTGATGACCTTCTCCAAATTACTACAGTGCAACAGGAACAACCTATACTTTCCACGTTCGCCCGGACCTGTCAAACACTTGGGCTCGTCATCTCACACACAAAAACCAAATTCATCTCACACTTCTGGCGTCAGACACCGCTGACTCTGCTAGAACAAGACATTGAACAAGTACACACCTACAGGTACCTTGGTCTACCCTTACGTGCCACGACCAGAGCCACCACCTCCGCTGTCGCCACCCACGTCATCTCCCAGTGCCGCCAACGAACGAGACCCCTCCAGTCCTATGTCTCATGTACATTGCCATCGTCAGAGCTGTCATAGATTATGCCTCTCTTGTTCTTGTAGTTGCCTCCCAGCACGAGAAACAAAGTGTAGAGAAAATCCAAAACAGAGCGAGAACTGATCCTGCTCCCTGTCTGCGATCGAATTACTGCTCCCAATGCCATCCTTGGTATTAAACTTCTCAGTGAGCAACTGACTCCTCGGTCGCACTCACTGTGCTGGCCTGTCCCCATTATCCTTCCCTCCCTTTCTCAACACTGGCCCGTCCACACTGCTGCTGACATTTTGCGTTATCACCTCTGCACCCCCTCGCCCTCTCTCCTTCCCGAGTATACACATCCACCTCTACCGCTGTGGACTTCCCCGAGTGTTGATGTTGCTGTCCACACCTTCCCTGGTCATAAATCCACCCAACTGCAGTACATACTCAAACTTAATTGCCTTGGGCAGATTAATGATGTCGCCTCCCCTCTTACGACCTCCCGCCGGGCGGCGCTGGGGCAGCTGTGTGGATTCCTGAGTGCCAAGCCTGCAGGAAAATCAGGGTGCACGACTGGGCCTCCTCCACTGACACCGAGAGCTTAATCATCCTCGAGGGAATTCCTGGGGGGCGGCGACCCATGTCTGCACTGAACGCTGGAACCTCCTTATAATTAGTGACAGCACTTCTGCACTAGCGAGGCTCAAATTACCCTCCCCCTCCTCCCCTGCCGCACAACACACCCTAGCCGCCGTCGCCGGGCTCAAGCAAACTGATGACATCCATGTCAAGTTTATTTGGATCCCATCACATATAGGAATAACTGCCTGTGACACTGTTGATCGGCTTGCCAAAGAAGCGACACAAGAAGAGGACATTGAAGCCACCCTCGCCCTCTCCCTAAATCATCTCAAATCTCGCATACACGCCACACAACGAGAAGCATTCGATGAACATTAGACACACCTGAAACAACGTTGTAGCGCCACACTTCACCACTATGACGACAACCACCACTACAAAGAGTATCAAGAGTATCAACCCCTGACTCGATCCCATCAGATTGTGTACATGAGACTGCGCTTGGGGGGCAGGTACCTATGGGAGTACATTGGCAACCCTGAGCCTGGCCTCATTATTTGTAAACTTTGTGGTCAACCCGACTCTCACACCCTCTCTCACTACATCCTTACTTGCCCTATGACCTCCTCCTACAGGTCCCCAGCCGTTACCAACACCTCGCCCCTTCCTGACCAGATATCCCTCCTCCTAGTGACAGGCACTTGACATTATTAGGGACCTGCCACGTTATGCCATAAACAGCTGAATTGTACTGGGAATTTTCTCCCACAAACTCATCATTCTGTCACTTTATGTAACTTGTTGACAAAACCCATGACCCTACAGGCTTTTACGCCCTTAATGCATGAGTCACAAAGACAAGCATGTACTATGCATGCTTCCCACATGGACGCTGTAAACACTTTTGCATTTCACCTTGCACAAGATGTAAGGGGGTGCTCAATAAACTAGCCCCCTCGCGGGGCAAAAAAACAAACAAAAGCGATACTGCCCTTATCATCATTGGGTATGAATTTGCTTGGGAGATTGGTATCCCCGAATCCCCTGAGCAATGCTCTTGTGCATTATGCAGAAGACCCGACAGCCGTACCCTTATCTACTTCCTCCTAAGATGTCCCCACACACAACGCTTCCATGACGCCTGCTGGACCACCACTCCACGACCCCCTGACGGAGACGTGATGATCCTCCCCATACTGGCCAGATATTATGTAAATAATATTGATAATGTGTTAAAGGAATATCCTTCCTTCTTTAGGCTTTAGTAAGCCCCTTTATAATATTTATACTGTATATACTTGTGACACTTGCCAGATGCTTGTGGTGTTATTGTACAGGGGTACCTAGGAATAAACAATTGAAATTTAAAACAAAAACACTTATTCTTTTCATTATTTTTTTGTTTTGTACCAAACATAAAGCAAACAAACAAATGACACTAAAAATATAGCCCAATAGGTAATGAACTACAGTTTGTATGGCTGGATATATCCCAAATCATTTATATAACTGATAAAACTCTAGGTGGGGTAAAACGCTCAGGGGAACAGCGACTGAACTTGGCGGGAATTTCACTCATTTCGACGTCAACTCCCAACTGTCAACAGATGTCAGCGCTGTGGTGTACTTAACCAACAAAAACATATCGCACATCCAAGAGCAGATAATAAATACTTTATTCACTAACTTGGCATCTCCCCATCTTAAATGCTACATTGTGACAAGATTTAAGAAATAATATTTGCTACGAAGTATGAAGAAGGTATTTAGAGGTTAAACATTTACATCCTGTCAATAATTATCATGAAATTTGGTGCAAATGAACGAAAATCTCGGCCAAAGATGGATGAGGTACTCGTATAGTTAATTTTTGTGCGATAGTATTCTAATGCGAGCTTTACCGTACTGGCAGTATGAGTTACGTGTTCAGCTGAGCTGTCACTGTTAGCTGATCACCCCGGCGATGTGGCCGCGAAGTTCAGTGGCTGTACTCCTGAGCATTTTACCCCCTCCTGGATTGAGCATATTTATATCAACTTTTATCAGTTATATAAATTTTATGGGATATATCCAGCTTTATAAATTGTAGTACATTGCCCATTGTGCTATATGTTAGGTATCATTTGTTTGTTTGTTTTATGTTTGGTACAAAACAGAGAAATTGTGAAAGGACTTCATTCAAAGGCAAATTTCATCTTTGAGCTTATATGATAAATATTTAAAAATTTCTAACATCCTCTCTGAAGTGCCAATGCCTTGAAATTATTTGTATTTTGATAGTCCAGATATTTAACAGTATTTTAGAGAATAACAAGTCTGCTTAACAATTGTGAACGCATTTAGTTTGATTTAATGGACAGCTGCACGAGCATTTTCTTTGAACTAGTCAGCTATTTGTAGCTATAGAAGAGGGGCATGGCTGACAGGCCAGGTTAGCGGGTAAATAGTATAGTTATTACTTAACTTACTATTGTTAGAGCTATATACTGTAGGTCCTTCTGATCATCTACCGTTCAAGATATTTTGTCAATAATTCTCAAGGACTGAGTAATTAATACACATGCAGCTGCTACAGATTAACAAAGGATGCTTTGTTTATGACTTCAAATTTTCCCAACAGTGTACAGTATGTCAGTGAATTCAGGTCTTAATTTACATAGTACAGTACTTCCAGTATACTTAATGTATGAATTTCATCTTTATATCTTGTTAAAATGTTTCTTTGATAGCAGTAAAAGAAATATCTTGGTGGAATTTAGGTATTGTGGCTTCTACGTCACCATGAGAATCCTCCTCTACACAAAGTCAAGGGCAAGTCTGCAGATGATTTGGTTGATCGCCAGTTACCAGAACTTCTTTTTCATATGGAGGAAATCCGAGCTCTAATCAAGAAGTACTCCCAGGTGAGTTGTGGTTTGGTTTCATTTTACTATATTTTGTATGCTTTAGGAATTTAAAACATTGTAGAAAATTATTGCTGACCATAGAGAACTTCAGTAAATATATATTTTTTTTTTACCAGGTACTGCAGCGATACTACACTCAGTACCTCTGTGGTTATGATGCTATTGCTCTTAATCAGTTGATACAGGAACTGCAGAACTTACCAGAAGAAGAATCAATAATATTGTCTTCTATGTGCAATGAAATTGGAAACCTCTCTGTTAAACAAGGTGAAGTCTATAACTATATTGTATTGTTTTTTCTGATAGAAGTTAAGCTTAGATACAGTATTTAAGATCTTTTTCATTGGTTAGTTGGGTAGTCTGTTCATAAATTTATTAGTGTATCAATTAGCCTTGATACATGTCTATCAACATAGTTATAATTTAAGTGCACAATGTTTCATTAAAAAAATGCACACAAAGAAACAAGGAAAGTATCTTGGTATGTTCTGTTCTGTTGTAGTATTCACATGTTAACGATTACTACTTTCTAGGGGAAGATTAGTGTATCAAAGTAGGTAAGCACCTTCAGTGTGACAACAGAATGTTCTTTTTACTTTAACAGAATATCTCAAATCCTTACATTGTCCTCACCAGTAAAGTCACTGGATTAGCTGAAATGATCCAAATGCTTATATACTACTGTGCAAAATGCACCTTAACTGTAGACTTTGCAATAGCATAATCAGATGAATTTTGACCTCACTCTTATTTTATGTTTAATACATATCCTATTCTTTTCAACCACAAAATTTTGAATGTTTGTCATCAAGTAATGTTATGTATATGATGTACTGCACAGGTAAACCTTGATAAATAATTGTAGATAGGGAGCATTATAACATGGAGTTCAATGGGATACGTTCTCAGCCAGTCCCCAAAGACACATGTATCACTGTCAAGACAATTAAAGAACTCTCACCACATCCTCAAGAAAAAGCCTGATCATCATCACATTTCCCCTTCGAGGCTAAGGGAACTCTTGTAGGTGGAGTGGAGACGTCACTCTGACTCCCACGCAGCCTCTGGGGAGTCTCATGCTGCTTTATAATGTTAAGTTTTACCTCAGAGACACAGTTTTCTTGGATGCTTTGGCCTTCCAAGACATTTTCAAAGTTACACTGCTCACTTCACAGTCACAAAAATAGAGCAAAAACACTTGTCACAAAAATAGAGCGAATGGTGATAACATAAAAATAATAGCGGCCGGCACTGCTCACATCATTTTCACAACAGAGGCGAAGCATCTTGCAGTCACAAAAACACAGAAAATATCACTTCAGTCACCATAACACAGTTCAATCTAAATGTTAGTGCTGTCCTCTCACTATATAAGAAAAAAATATCACTAATGATAAGTACAATGTACGATGCTGACCGATAATCGTGGGGCAATGCTATGGCCGGTTTACGATCGACAAAGAACCAAGCGCAGGGCTGTAGTGTGCGGATCGGACTGATAAATGAAGGGAGATAAAATGTTACTGACATGACGTAAAAAAATATAATTTGTATTGCTGGAATCCTTGCAAGACAGCAATTAATTTGAGTATAAACAATCCATAGTTTGCACCAGAGATAAAATTGATTTTTTCTAACCAATGGATATCGAGGGTATCGTTAAAGCGATTTTTTGTATAGTATATATCAAGATAGTCTTAATTCATGACGATCATTAAAGCGGAATATCACTGAACAAGATATCGTTTATCAAGGTTTACCTGTACAATATCCTACTCTATTATTATTTTTATATTTTATTAAAATAATCAACTCTATGGTATAATTGTGTGACAAATTTTGATGTTTATTACCCTCGATAGTTTCTCTTGATGTAATTTTGTTGAGAATCTGTAAATCAGTTGTACTATGTCTTTTAAGTTTATTTTATCAACCTGGGTAGATCAGATACATTGTGTTCAATTCTGTCATGCACTTTATATTTAAATTCATTGTTACATTTTTTTTAGCCTTGCATTGTTTGTCTGTGTTTGTGTTCTACCAGCTACTAACTGATTCCTTGTGTCTAATGCAGTTTTACCCACACTCTTTCGAATTTATATTCAGTAGAGGAAGGAACATCATTTGACTTTCGTGGCATCCGTCTTGATTGGTTCCGGCTACAAGCATATGCTACTGGTAACCGAGCTGGGTTGAACCTCAAGAACAATCGGGAGTTAGCTGCACTCATCAATCAAATTGTTTTCCATACCAAGATGGTTGATTATCTTGATGAGATGCTTATTGAAACATCAGATCTTTCTATTTTCTGGTGAGTACAGTACATGTACTGTAATAGTTACCCAGTCTTGTGTAAAGTTTGTAAATTTAAACAAAATGGTTTTCATCTTATAGTCAGATAATAAAGGAAAAAGGTACTTGTAAATATTAGGTAGGCACAATAATTTAGTTTGGGCATTGGAAAAGGAGTCAAAATGTAAAGTTATTTAATCAACAAAATGGAGAGGTTCTAATTGATTGTCCTATACAGTATGTGATTTGTAAACAATTAAATACTGTACATAATACTGTACTGTTTTGTGTCATAGAAAATTCAATGCAGGAACTATGATGTAATTACTGTGGCCTGTATCTCCTTATTGTATCATTCAAATCACTTGGGTGTTAAAAAAAACGATAGAGAAGGAAAACAGATGCATTATGGTCAGTGTACATATATTGAAAATGTCTATGACTGGTGTACATTTTGAAATTTGTGCCAACTTATAACAATGTCCTTTATGGACAATGTGGTTTGTGGTGTCTGCTTTTGCATCATTTTTCTGGCAGTATTCAGCAATTGATGAAAGTCTTTATTCATTAAAGCTTATACAAAATTTTCATGTACAGTATAGTCTGCATTTACGCGGTCAATTGAACCCGTGGAGTACCGCGCAAAATGAGAAACGTGTAAATGAAATAACAGAACATATGGGATTAATTGAAATAGAGACTGGGCCGACCCCCAAACCCCACTTTTTGCGACACAATACGTACGTTGTAGTAAAAATATTATCTTAATTTTATGATGGTATGCACACACACATAATATAGAAGAGAAATATCAATAAGAGAATAATATACTGTACCAGGTAAAAGAAAAATCAAGGTTTAACACTTGCATTAGTAGAAGAGATGGGTCGGCATATGATGATGGGGGCTGGTTCCGAGGCAGAGGGCAGATTACTGGCCCTCAGGTGAATCACCATCACTATCCACCATAGTTGTCACAAACCCCCCAAAGTCATCACTGTCACTATCACTGGCTTGGGCTGGCTGTGGTGGGTTGCGGGCTAAGAAGTCAGTGATGTTACGCTGACGGCTAGTGTTGATGTGGTCGTGATACATCTGTATGTACTGCTCCATACTTTGATCGAGAAGGTTATTGAAGACTTCATACCGGTGATTGACATGGTCTTTTGAAAGGGTGAGCTTTTGTTTCTCGGCAAAGTCGATGGCATCCTTTACATCACCATGAGTTAACTTCTGTTGTTCTCGGGCTGCCGCACCACCTGCCTCCTCACTGACATCATCGTCTTCTAACAACTCGTCGGCAGTCACCTCAGGATCCCTGATTACCTCCATGATGTCGTCGTTGGTGGTCTCGGAGAAGCCTGCAGCTGTAACACTCTGTGCAGCTTCTCTTGCAAGGTCCACTGCCACTGCAACAGACTGAACCTCACCAGCCACAGGTTGACTCTGCTTCCCACATGGGATACCCTGCAACACATGCTGCCACGCGTGACGAATCGTTGCCACAGACAGCTGCCCCCATGCCTCCACCAAAAAATCAACAGCTTTCTTTACGTTAAACATTTTCCAAAACTGTTTAACTCGCACTTGATGCTCCGCCAACTCATGTTCTGCATCCTCATTGTCGTCACTCTCGCTATCTGTGCCACTCAAAAGGTTACACGACTCATCCTTGGTGTTGGTACAGTCGTTCAGGAGCTTAAACTTCTTTGCAGAGAATGCAGCCTTAACGTTGCATATCAACTCCTGGTCCATGGGCTGGATTAACGACGTAGTGTTGGGAGGAAGGAAGACCACTTTTACATTGGGGTGACGATCCAACAGTAGGGGCTATTGTCCTGGTACATTGTCAAGCAGCAACAAAATGTTGAATGGCACATTATTTTGCGCGCAGAATTTCTTGACGTCAGGAACGAAACAGTCGTCAAACCAGGAGAGGGACAGACCAGTGAACATCCACGCCTTACGTGAGGTTAGCCAGTGGACATTTAGCTTGGTCATATCCATGTTCTTGTAGGCATGTGGCTTGCGGGTTGTGTGGATCACCGACAACTTGAGCTTACAGGTACCGGAGGCATTGGTGGTAAACAGGACGGTGATGCGCTCCTTCTGTAATTTCCGGCCCTTACACTTGCTGGCAGACTGAACAACGAAGGTCTTGGAAGGTAATTTTTTCCAAAACAGACCTGATTCATCCATGTTGAACACCTGGTCGTCGGTGTACTGTCCTTCTTCCATAACTTCTCGTAAGAATGGAGGAAAATCCATGGCGGCAGCACGGTCAGCACTCACTCCTTCACCAACAATGTTAATGTTGGTAATCTTGTTCCTTTTCTTAAACCCTTCCAGCCACTCAGAGGAAGCATTGAAGGGTTTGGGGTCTGCAATTCCCATCTTGCGCGCCACTGATATGTACAGTTCACGTGCGTAGTCTTGCACTGCCTGAGTGTCGACCGCCTTGTTAAGTCTTGCTAACTAATTAAGTAGCTCACCAGCAAGTTCTCAGTCTTGAGCAGCACCTTATTCTGACAGTACTTCACCATTGAAGCACCTGCAGACCTTGTGATGCTCATGTGTTCTTTGATCTTGGCGGCATCCTTCTTGATCGTCCGGATCGTAGATTCGTTCACGCCATGCTGGCGTGCCAAATCAACTTGTCTTGTTCTTTTTTCTAAATCTTGCACGATCTTGTACTTAACTTCGTAACTTAGGGCACGTCGTATCTTCTTGGGCTTGGGGCAGCTGGGTCCATCAAATGCAAGGTTTTTCTGTGGTGGTGGGGGTCCAGCGGATGCCATTGTTGAACAGATTAGCGAGCACAATAGAGAACAGTATATGTGGCGACAGGAGAACAATGAGACTGACGCGGCTAGGTCAGACGCTCCTTCCCGTGCCAGGCCACGTCATATAACATTAGACCAATTACAGCTAGCGGTGGAGGGAATGCGTGGGTGGTAAGGATGCGTGGCCCAATCACAGTCAGATACGTCATATGGCATCAGCGATAACGCAACAGCGACCTAATCCTCACCCCCTCACTGCGCCGCTTCCCGCGTATGGTCGAGAATGGACAGCTTGAATGAAAAATGGCGTGGAGCGTCTGGACCTCCAGCCGCTCTCTGCGTAAATGACCAAATTTACCACGTAATTAAAGCATTTACATTCTGGCAAGGCACCGTGTAAATGACCAAACGCGTAAACAAAACCCGCGTAAATGCAGACTATACTTCTAGAATTTGAAATTAAAAAGGTTGTGGATCCTTCAAAGTTTGGGAATTTTTAAAGTTTAGGAATTGGCCTATTTTTTTATTATACATTTTTAAAGGAATGTGAGTATAAGCTGCTGTACTATGAATCCTATACTGTACTTGTCCTTATGTCAGTCAATTTTATAAATTTGTCTTATTTCTTGTGCATATATAGCCATAGCTCCTCTTCTGGGGTGTAATGCGCATATTTTAAGTGTGATGTTTTGTTTACAGCTTTTTTAGCAAACAGTTTGAAGACAACTTCCACATGTGTTTAGAGTTTCCTGGCCAAAACCGCTACATCATCTGCTTCCCGTTAATATGTTCCCACATGCAAGCTTGTACTCACGAGATCTGCCCAGAAGAGGTAAAGAATGTCTCATTGTATATTTGTATTTGGTATTTTATTGATGTGTTTCCTTATACATTAATGACCCATGGATCATTGGTCAGTTGACTTCTAAGATTCCACCACCAAAACTCCTTATTGTAGAGTCTGCCTTGTCCTGGGGTTATCTACGTTCTGGATGTAGTGACCTGACCTGTTGGATCCAGTGTAATTGATGTATAAATACCCATTTTCATAACAGAACTAAGGTATAGAAACAGGCTCAAAACTTGATCTGGTGGTTGCTTTGAAACCCAGTGAGTCAAAAGTTTATGAGGAAAAAGATTAGAGCTTGCATTGTAAACCGTATTTTTTATGATTCTCTAATAATTACACTGATCCAACTACAAAACATTTCTGCTGCCACAACACAGATAGTCCATGGACAAGATATGGCTTTGTTTGAGACTGCTACTGCAAGATTAAATTTTTTTTCTACTTCACTGATTGTTGTTATTGTACAATCTTATTGATTTCAGTACATTGACATTTTCATGTGAGAAGGAAAAAAGTTTGTCTGTGCAGAGTAGGGAAGATCAAGAAGCGAGTTTGGGTGACAGGAATGAACATCCAGGAAGTAGCTGTGTGCATGAATAAGAGGAGGGTATGATATCGAGTAATTTTTGGAGAAGGTTGTTTTGTTGATAGATGATGTCGGTTTTTACAAAGTGACGGGTAAACCAGACAGATATTTACAGCCTTGTTGTGAGAATGGAGAACCATTAGAGAACTCCGCTATTATAGAATTAAGAATGGATGAAAGGAGATTGTATATACTGTATAGATATATGTACAGTATTTTCTCTTGATTCTGGTCACTACAATAACCAAGAAAATGCTTGAAAGAAAAAAAAATTACTTGATAATTTATGTTTTGTTAAAGCTATAAGAGGCAATTCTTGTTACCTTCAGCTGTTAATGCATAATGTTTTTCAAGGTTTCATAATTTTTTAAAGATTGTAAACTTTTGCACTTACCGTAAATCAGGTTAACGGATTAGAGAAGGCAAATGAAAAGGGAAGGGCCATTTACAGGAGCCTCCAGTTTTTTAATATGTTAATATTGTTTTCTTTGATGCTTAGAGATAGATAAAGTTTTTCTGATGGGTCAGTTTCTTAGCTGCATTTGGTACCTTTTCCAGTTTTTGGGATATACGAGTCAATTTCATTTACACTTGATTAATTAAATATATAAATGAATCATATTGCCATATATAGAGTAAAATTAAGGTAGTGGTAGTGTCAAGAATTTTGATTGACAAGTGTAAAGTGAATTATGGTGCTCCTATTTTATATTGATTTAAGCCCTTTTTGTACAGAGATACCACATACGAGAACGAAGCTTGTCAGTAGTCAACATGTTCCTGGAAGAGATGGCTAAAGAAGCAAAAAATATTATTACTACCATCTGTGATGAACAGTGCATCCTCTCAGATAAGGTACTGTATGACTGTTATGCAGGGAAATGACATAAAATAGAATTTGGTAATGATAGAATTGTTCATTCCACCTTTTACATTATATTTAGGTACAGTGTTGCTTTCTTGCCTTACAAGTGATTCTGATGTGCAATACACCTAAAGAAAATTAAAGATTAACTTACATTTTAGTGGTGTAGAAAACATGTGATTAAACCACTGATATATGTATTATAGTTCAATCAATTTTGGATCTGAAAATGTAAGGGAAATTTTAATTATAATCATGATTATTATATCGGTGATATATTTTTTCAGTACTGTTGTAGTTCTTTAAATTTTTCTTTTCCTCGTTATAGCTCCTTCCGAAGCATACAGTTCCTCTTCTAATTCATAAAAAGAAAGAAAAGAAAAAGAAAAAAGAAGACACAACAGAAGGACGACCTGGATATGAAAGTCATAGGAAGACCAGGGAGGACCTGACCACGTATGTTGCCATCCATATTAGTAATTAAGGTTGACACAGTTTTGTTATTCTGTTATATGTTAATTAAGACCATTCATTCATCAAAGTTATAAGAGTTGAGTGGAGAGTTAATGGAAAGGCTGAGTAAGCTTTTAAGAAAAATCTAAAGATAATTGAAGGATTATGTTTGTGAGACAAGAGGAACAAGTTATATTTGCTCTCCAACAGAGCAGAATATTAAAAGATTCTGTAGTATGGTATAGCATTATCACCATTAATACTGTTGTCACGGTATTACAGAAGATTCGCAACTTATGCGGGGTTATGTTCCTGGGACCTCGCGTAAAGTCAGAAACACCCCTAAAAATCCTCTAAATCGCCCTTAAATCACTATATATACGTACATATACACTAGAAGTGGCTGGGAAGATGAGGGAAGGGGAGGTGAGGTGATGTATTGTGACAGTTGGCATCAAAGGTATAGTGCGTATTTATTTATCTGTGAATTTAAGTTTTTCTCTTATAAAATGTCACTGAACTGACCTGGGAGAATAAAACTTATATTGCTGGGATTCTTGTAAGATAGTGATTAATTTGAATATAAACATGTTATAGTTTGCACTAGACATAAAATTTTTAGTAATTATTTAGTACATTTGAGTACTTAAGTGAGTAAAAATATATGAAGAAAGTTACATGGTATATCAAGCCAAAAATATTACAGTATTTGAAAAACTTTATGTAGACAGACCTGTGTTGTTGTTTTGATATTATTCATCCCCTTCCAACGTCACCGTGGAGGGATCATCAAGGTCAGATAGCGATGCAGGGGAGGATGTGGGCAGCTCAAGGTCACTGCAAGATGTTGAGGGCCGTTGACTGATCTGCTGACGATGTTGATCCTGAGGTTTTCTTAAAGAACATGGTGATGTGAAACTGTCATTGTTGTTTCTTAAGCTGCTGGAACATATTCTTATACTGAGCCATAAGGCTTGTAAGACCTCGTGAGAAGTTGATGCTGTGCTCCGTAGAGGGGTCATACTCAGACACCAAGTTTTTCAAGCACTCGGCCACTGAACCACTTCACTAAACTTGTGTACCGTATATCCCAACATGCTGGCTCTTCTTGTTCTTCATCATCGTCGTCGCCACCACCACCATCTTCTTCGCCCTCTCTCACTATTTCCTCCAACTCAACATCAGTCAGACTTTCCCTGTGCCCTTCGCTTTCCTGCTCGACCATGTCTTCAAACCCATCACCGCCTACAGCCCTGGCCACTATCATGATGTGCTTTACATCTGAGTCGGTCGTAGGGAATCCTTTGAAGTCATTCCACAGTGCCCGCCAACACGAATTAACCATCTCTGGTTTCAGTGCATCCATGGCCTCCTTCACAAAACTGGTGCAATTGGCAATGTTGAAATCTTTCCAGCATGCCATAACACTCTTGTTAGTGCCGTCCTCCATGGCGTTGCGAATGCGCACGAAGGTGAGGCGTGTGTACGCTGCCTTAAAGCACCGAATGACATCCTGGTCGAGAAGTTGGAGAATGGAGGTGGTGTTGGGTGGAAGAAATACTACTTCGACGTCATCGTGTGCGAATTTTATGGCATCCGGGTCCTGGTGGCCTGGTGCATTGTCAACGACCAGCAACACGTTGAAAGGCAGGTCCAGCTTCTCTGGGTAGCTCTTTACCTCGGGGATAAAACATTTGTGGAACCACTCAAGAGCACGAGGGTTGGCAGACGTATAAATCAAGCCTGGCTTTATCATATGCCCTGCTGCGTTGCCACATAGCAGGACAGTGACGTTGTCCTTCGCAGCCTTGAACCCGGGGGCCTGCTTCTCAGACTTGGAAATATAGGTTTTGGTTGGCATTTTCTTTCAAAACAAACTTATTTCGTCAGCGTTGAAGACCTGCTCTGGAAGATATCCACTTTCCTCAATCAATTTCCTGAATTCCTCTGGGAACACCTGTGCAGCTGCCTCATCCGCCGATGCCAATTCGCCAGTGAGTATAATATTTTTCAGGTTGAAACACTTCCTGAAACTGTTGAGCCAACCTGCACTAGCTTTGAAATTCTTTTCAGAGCTCGTGGATGCTTTGCTCTCAGGAACCTCAGATTTAAACTGGTCATAAAGACAGCGCCTTCTCCCTGAGCACGCTGCCATCGATGGGGACACGTTTCTGGTTCATATCCTCCACCCAGATGTTTAATGCCTTCTCCACCTTCACTAGAGTTGTCTCGAACCTGGCTAGTCACCTTAGCAGTAAATGATGCACTTGTAGTCACGGTTTCACGAATTTCCCTCTGCCGAATCTTGATGGATCTCACGCTTGATTCGTTCCACCTGTACCTCCGTGCCACAGCAGCAATCGTCATGCCGCCTTTTATTAAGTCTAAAACGGCCACTTTTTCTTCCAGGGTCATCACAGAGCGTTGTTTCTTCGCTGTAGGACCAGAGGCAGAAGTTGGCTTGTGTTTGGGCATTATGAACGAGTATGAGAGGTTTAAGCGCACTAAATTGACACACACGAGAGACAGGTGTTACTCCGACCTATACTGTGCTCACTCGGCAACTGAAGACAGAGAGATGGGATGGCAAGGTTGGAGCTTTGGCGGGTTAGCGTTTGGCGTGCTTATGACCCATTTTGAAAATTTTAAGTTTGAAATTGGAAATTGTAACCTAAGCCCCAGGGTAATCTGCGTTCAGTAATGCGTCGGTTAACGTCCTAGATACGTTCTTGGAAACATGACGTTAACCGAAATGGACGTTGTCCGATCATCACATAAACTTTGTATTTATACTTACGTTTATGTGGAATACTATATACGTACATATACACTTTTACTCTTAAATCACTACTGTAATGTGATACAGGTGATTAATTTTTATCTCTTGTGCAAAATAAATGACGTTTATATTAAAATTATTCACTGTTTTACAAGTATGCCAGCAGTGCTGGGCAGATGGGGGAGAGGGAGGGAGGGAGCGAGCGAGGAGGCAACTAGATATGTCTGATTACAGCAAATGTGTTATTGTCAATTTGTAGGTGAAAGATTTTATTCTCAATAGATGTAGGTTAACATTACACCTGGAGGCAAATGCTTAAAAAAAGCCTAAGGAAGGAAGCAAATTCCTTTAGCACATAATATCTGGCCAGCATGGGGAGGATCATCGTGTCTCCGTCAGGGGGTCGTGGAGTGGTGGTCATGCAGGCGTCACGGAAGTGTTTTGTGGGGGGGGGGGGCACGGACATATATGCAATCGGACATTGTTCTGTTGGACATTAACCGGCGCATGACTGTAGTTGAAATCGCGTAAGAAAAATACGGGTAAGTTGCGAGTCTACTGTACTTAATGACTGTGCACTCTGGGCACCCAGAATGTTTTGAAATTGGTCTGGAATAAAAAAAAAGGTGTAATCATTATACTCAGTGGTGAGGCTTACAGTTATACAGTATATCAAGGATGAATGAAAGTGAATAGGTTACAAAACACCATACAGTAATCCCTTCTGCTACAGAAGAAGTATGGCCTTAAGAAAACGTGAAATTCTCTAATATAAACCCGGTTTTCCAATTGACTTTCAGCATATAGTCGGAGAAGTGTTCCTACAGAATAGTTTTCAGCTCCCGAAAATAATAAACACGTGCTTATGAGTGAAAAACTTTTTCAAACTCAAATTGAGTGGAAAATTTATTAGCCCCCACAATGATTTTCAGTTCGATTAACGAACAAAACTCTGATTAACGAAATCCTTACGCCAAACACGTTTTGTTGTGCGCATCAGCTGATCAGTTGATCGGCCAGTCCGCCAATACAGTAATCAGTTCTATGTTTACATTCGTTTCCAGTGGGGTAAATATCAAGAAAGTTGGTCTCTTGAATATTTCTGCATTTTTTGTATTAAAATTATTGGTCATTCTGAAATTTAGTGAACATATTGATAATATACAGTGCAGAAATTATTATGAAACATGGAGAAGGCATTAGAACCAATGCACTCAGCAAAGAATATGACATGTCATCATCGACTGCCTCTACAATTAGCTGTTTGATATGTAAACAAAGCTGACGGGAATACGACATACACACCTCAAAGTAAGTTAAAATGCAGTATTCTATTGTTTTTTATTTATTATTGTACAGTATACTGTACTGTACAGTACAGTGCTGTATTTAGTTTATATTAAATGTTTTGTTAATTCTATTACCGGTATACAGTACAGTACTTTGTATGTACTTTTTCTGTGAGTTGGAACCAATTACCCAGTATTCCATTGAAATACAGTGGTCCTTCGGTTAACGAGCACAATTCGTTCGAGAATGTTGCTCGTTAACCGAAACCATTGTTTCAATGGGTTTTTGGTTAATTGGTTCCAGCTCACCGAAAATTGTCTAAATTCAACAAAAAAGGTAGTAAAGTACACTTACTTTGAGGTGTGTATGTAGAAGGCTCCTGGATGCTGATGATGATGTGAATTTGAAGTGGGAGGTGGAGGAGGAGAAGGGAGAAGAGAAGGAAGTGGAGGAGAAGCATTTTACTGCTTCTTGGAAGGTGAGTCACCTTCCATGAAAATATTGGGAACCTCTGGACTGACAGATTCTCCACCATAAACATCCTCTCTCCTTCTTGAAGTGGAAGGCTGAGGGCTAGCATCTTGTTCCCTCTGCCTTTTACTGAAGAAAGTGTCAATTGTGGTCTGTGGGGCATCTCTCCTCCTCATCATTAACTCATGTTTCAAGAAGGAGACCATTGTGTCCTCAACATGACACAATGTTAGTTCAGATTTTTCCACATCTGGGTGCCTTGAAGCCAGTTTCCTGAACTTCTCCCAGTGGTAAATAACATCTTTCAACTCTGAAGTTGACATATGGTCATCACTTTCCTTTTCCTCCTCACCATTGTCAGCCTCTAACATCGCATCTAGTTGCTTTAAGTCTTCAGGAGTAAGTTCCTGCTCATGAGACATACACAAGCTCTTGCACATCATCCTCCTCCACTTCAAGGCCC